ACATTTATCATTTCAGAATTACTGAGGTACCTTAACCTACAAAAAAAATGATACAAATACTTATCCAGATACTAAAACTACAAAAAAAATGATACAAATACTTATTCAGATACTTTGAATAACTTCGATTATGCCATCAAAATCAACACGCTAATTCGACCACTAGCTTTCCTAATGAATCAGAAATTGAACATATCATCTCCCCCCAACACCGTATTTACTACTTCTACGTAGGTTAACTATATTTTTTCTTATGGTTATTATTCCAGGTTTTTTATAGCATTTGATAAAAAGCAAATAAATAAGTATATATATAATCATCATCGTCACCGCCACCTTTATTATCACCATCATAATCATCGTCTTAGTTTGAAGTCTTCACAAAGTTTTGGCTTACTTTTAAAAATTCACACAACAGATGTATCAAAAAACCCGCCACCCCAGTGCTCAACAAGTAGTAGCAGCACGAATTTCCGAATTGTGGATGAAGTTTGCTACGAGACGGTAGTCAACAAAGACAAACAAACGTCATCATGGTTCCAGGCCCAAAACAGCTGCGTAGAAAAGGGCGGAACCCTGGCTACGTTGCCAAAAAACATTCCGGCAGACTTCAACAAAACTCTGGCGGCTATCACGAGGGATCAGCAGAGTTACTGGATTGGACTGGTGCGCGATTATTGGAGTTGGATTGCCAGGCCAGGTGACCAAATTAACATTTTATAAGAGAGAGAGAGAGAGAGAGAGAGAGAGAGAATATTTAAAATTCCTTATAAAATAAATTTTCAATTTTGTCTCTTCTTTCACTTTATTTCATTAAAATTAATTGCGTTTTCATGTTTCATGTCTTCACAAAGAAAATTTTAAATAATACACCTTTAAACCATATTCGTGCGTTTTAATGTATGAACAATACAACAATACCAGCGCTGATACAAGAGTACACAAACTGGTACAATGGATACCCTCTACCTGGGAACCTGGACGTAGACCCAAGCAAGGTTTTCACATTCCTGGATCACTACAACGGTGATATATGGAAAGATTTTGTTGACGCAAAGGATATCTCCCTCCACGTTATCTGCATGACGTGTAAGTCCCGGGTTCGAATCCTGTCTTGGGTGTAGTGTTTGGAATTTGAATTTGCGTAGTGTATATTTTACTTAAAGGCTAATGTATGTTTTGACTCTTAGTTATTGCGATAATGTTATAGTTTGTTTGAGGTTCTTACAATTTAAATTTATAACTTCCATTTTGCAGCCAGTACTAAAACTCAACAAATTACTGTCCCCACAACTACTAGTACTACAACTACTACTACAACTACTACTACTACAACTACTACTACTACAACTACTACAACTACTACTACTACTACTACTACTACTACTACTACTACTACTAAAACTGTTACTGCTACTACTACTACCACTACTACAACAACTACTACTACTTTTCCAAACTTCAAAAACTTGGACGAGCCAACAGCGTCTGGTAAATTTATTGATAAAAAGTTTTTTTTAGACCGTCTTAACAAGCTTTCGTGACATTTGGTTAATTCCTGTTTAATTATCGATTAAAATAAACGCGAGGTTGACGATAAAATTTGAGTTTATAATTGAGTTATAAAACAATCATTCAATTATAAACATTTATATTATTATTATAATTATTATTTTATTATTATTATTATTATTGTTATTGTTATAATTTTTTTACCCTATCCTTACCTATCCGTTCATTTCACAAACTTCATTAAAATGCTTCGTTTGTCTAATCGTGAATTTGGTTTAACGGTTTGGCTTTTTATGTTTTCTTTATATAATTTATTCTAATCATACATTCATTCATTCATTCATACATTCATTCATACATTCATTCATTCATACATTCATTCATTTATTCATTCATACATTCATTCATTCATTCATACATTCATTCATTAATTTATTCAGTCTGTCAGTCATTCACTCATCCATTCATAAATCAGTCAAATTTGGTTTCAATCTATAAAAGTTGTCTTATTCTTACCAATATTTAGTTAATATTGTTATAATTATAATGATAATTATTATTATTTCAATTTTAACAGTTTTAGCATCTGACCTATCTACTCCTACTTCGACAACGAACGGTGGTCCTAACAACAACAACAACAACAATAATAATAATACAAATGATAAAGGTTTTTATGGTTTTAATTAAATTATTAATTACTATTATAGTTTTATACTATTGTCCATTCCTTCTTTTTTTGTTATTCATTATTTTCATTCTTTCAATAATTCATTTTCAATTTGTTCGTTTATTAATTAATTCAGGGGTGGGCATTTTATGCGGCCCGCGAGGCCTTGTTTGCCATAAAAAAAGGCCGTCAGCTAGACATTCAGACAAAATGGTGGTCCCAAGTTTTGAAAAATTTTCCCCCGAGTCTAAAAAATTTGCTATCTAATTACGTATGCGGCCTTCAAACGTAAAATATTCCTCAATGCGACCCCCACAGCCATAAGTTTGCCCATCCCTGAATTAATTAATTCATTTATTCATTCAATTACTTATTTGTTTGTTTGTTTATTTATTTATTCATTTAATCATTTATCCATTAATTCATTCCTTCATACATTTATTCAAAGATTTAAAATCATACGTCATTCCACTGGCCGTCTGCATGAGTTTGATCTCTGTCATCCTCATCGTCGTCGTCGCTCTGATGTAGGTTCATTTTTAAATTTAAAAAAAAAAATCTTTTTGAAAGATAAATTATATATTAATGATGTTTCCGTGTGCAACTATCGCTCCTATAATTTTTTAAGATAGCATGTTTGATCTTACTCTACAATAATTCTCACTCCCTCTCTCTCTCTCTCTCTCTCTCTCTCTCTCTCTCTCTCTCTCTCTCTCTCTCTCTCTCTCTCTCTCTACTTATTTTCTCTTCTCACATGGTTATATTTTCCATTTCCTTTGCATGTTCCACTTAGCCACCACACCACCGGTAAAATTTTCTGCCATTTTCAAAATAAAACATCAGTTGCATAAAGAAGAAAAGATTTCCCGGCTTTTCAAAAAACGTGATGTCGCAACAGCAGCCGCAACACCAACGGCAGGTCGATATGGGTAACTCTACTACTGAATATGACGCCGCAGTATGAATGAATGAATGAATGAATGAATGAGTGAGTGAGTGAGTGAGTGAGTGAGTGAGTGAGTGAGTGAGTGAGTGAGTGAGTGAGTGAGTGAGTGAGTGAGTGAGTGAGTGAGTGAGTGAGTGAGTGAGTGAGTGAATGGATAGATGGATGAATTGATGAAAGAATGGATGGATAGATGAATTGATGACACATTAATGGATACATGAATGAGCGAATGGATGAATAGATGCATGGATGGGTGGATGGATAGATACATGGATTAAATGGATAGATGGATTAAAGCTGATGTTTAAACTGATTATTTCTTTAATATTTTCGTTTTGGCAATCTTAATTAATTTATTTTCTTCTGTCTTCTGTAATTATAACACAATTTTTCTTAATTTTACTTTATATGTTTGATTGTCTTCTATTTATTAATTTTTAACATGCTTTTTAGTTTTAATTGTGTTCTTTTTATAAAAAAAAGACTGATAATTAAGAACCATTTTAATTCATTTTTACTGCAAAATATTTCAAAATTCAATGAAAAACCATTTTAGATTATTGTAAATTTGTGTTGTTACTAAAAGAAATTATTATACCAGACGTCAAATAGTTCAATCACGTCATTTTCATCATCCGGCCCATCAACAACGCCATCTTTATTTTATTATGATTGTAATTGACGTCATAAAGAATACATTTAAAAAAATAAAGACATTAACAAATTACATAAACATAGCAAATATAGCTGGAAAACGAGATAAAATCACTCAAAAAATGTGAACGAACGAACGAACTATTTCATTCGCATCTTCTTCCGCTTCTTCTGGGTTCTCTCCCTCTCCATCTCATTCCCTGTCCTGCTCACCAGCGACTTACAGGAAATGGACTTCGAGGAAATGAGCTGCAGCGGCAGATGGCACAACCCTTGTGGACCTGGTAGCCGTTAGGGCAGCGAAGTTTGCAGTTGAACTTGCCGCAGACGCCAAACGAATGCATTCTTTGAGAAGCTTTGGCATTATTATTATTATTATTATTATTATTATTATTATTATGTTCCGAAGTTATGGTTTTTTGTATAATTATTTGTAATTTTTTTTACTTAGGATAATAGTTTACGGTTATAATAAATGCTAGAAAACTGCTAACATGTCTGCGTAAGAAAGACAGCCGCAACCAACAAGAGTAACAAATACTTTTTCATCTTCGATTACTGATTGCTGAGAACTTCTGCTAATTCACCACAACAACTGATTTTTTGACATTTTTTTACAGTTTTTAACAGGAAGTTTAACAAAAATTTGTTTTTTAATGTTTGTCTGAACGGCTTATATAGACAAAAATTAGTTTTTCATAACACGCGCACACACCACACACACACACACACACACACACATATATATATATATATATATATATATATATATATATATATATATATATATACACACACACATTCATATGTTTTTAAATCATATAGCATATTTGAAGAGAACGTTAAAACACACTTCAGGTTAATATATTCAGTTTATAGGTCTCCCAAATTAAATCAGCTATCCAGAGGTAAATTCCAAATTTTTAAAGAAGAAAGATTTACATTTGAAATAAATTTGAAAGGTCATAAAGGTCATAAAGGTCAATAAGTGAATGTCAAAGACGTCGATTTTTTTATGAATCGGTGAAATTACAATGCCAAATTGTTTGGAAATTACATTTATTTTATTTTTTTTAAATTTACACCAAAAAGTTTTTCTCAAAATATAAAAATTTCCAAGTCAATAAATAATAAATTACGTAACAAAATTTATTATTAGTAGTAGTATTATCGTCTCCCTCTTATTCAGGATCTTCTACGGAAAATATCCCACGGAAATCCAGGTTTCTTCGGAAAATTTATGATTGGGAATCTGTTTAATTGTCATGTGTATGAATGCGTGCGTGTGTGTGTGCGTGCGTGTGCGTGTATGTGTGCGTGTGTGTATCTGTGAGATTTCAACTGTCATATTAAGTTCCCTTTAAGATTTTTTTCATAATAAAAGTTGAAAACAAAATGGAGACAGTTGTACAAAACGAACTTTCTCGAATGGGCAAAAACAGACACTAAATATAGCTAAAAAAACCTATTTGGACGTGGAGACGACGACTTCCGGGCGGAACGGGCGAGCCTCGGCGGCGATCTGCAGCGGCACACTGGACACCCATCCACAACTTCAAAACCGTATTCACAGTACCGATCACACATATATTTCCCGCACTTTTTTTGAGCCTTTCCTGTTAAACAGGTATTATTAATATATTTATTAATTTAATAATTTCGGAAAATTATCATTTTAGTAATTATAATAATAAAATATAATTTATATAATGTTGTAAAACAGTGCCGGGAACTACAAATTTAATTTTACGTATTTCATCCAAGCCTAAGACATTGTCTATAACATAGTTGTCATAATTATTGATAACATTATTATGTTTGTTTGTATATGTTTGTTTGTGTGTGTGTGTGTTTGTGTTTGTTTGTTTGTGTTTGTGTGTGTGTGCTTTTAAAGGTCATATTACGTTTCCTTAAAGATTATTTTTTCAAAATAATAGTTAAAACCACAAAACAACAGTTAGACAAAATGAACTTTCTCGAAGCTGAAAAAAAACCTAATTCGATGTGGCGGCCACTTCCGAGCGCGCTCGATGGCGATCTGCAGCTGCATACCTGACATCCGTCAACAACTTCAAATCCGTATTCACAGTACAGAGCGCACATATACTCGCCACACTTCCTTTCAGCCGTTTCTGTTCAATGGGTATTAATATTAATATTTAAAAAAATTATTTTAATAATTTCGAAAATTATAACAATAAGAGTTATAATAACCGAAAACTCATTTTTATAGCGCTGTAAATTAGCGCTAGGAGTTTTAAAATATGTATAAATTTAATTGTATTATTTAGATCTATACTAGCCTATATGCGTCAAGAAGACAACGGCCAACAAAACCAACAGATACTGTTTCATCTCAGATTACTACACCTACTAACTACTTCTACAAAGTATTTTTTCAGATTACGTCTTCTAAATACTGTCACTGTTTCCACTTAAGATAATTATAATATAATTATATTCTATTATAATTATATTATTAATATTACAACCTATGTTACCAATCGTACAGATACGGTTTATATAGATTTCAACACAAATGCAAACTAATACACACAGATACATATATACATACTAAATAATTACACGTTTGTTTGTGTGTGTGTGTGTGTGCGTGTGCGCGTCTGTGTGTGCGTGTGTATGTGTCTGTGTGTGTGTACGTCTATTGGTTAAAATATTGGAATGAAAGTTTAAAACGTTCTTGAATTTTTTTTCCTCACTTGTCATTAAAATGGTGAATAAATGTTTACGGTATAATTGTAATTGAATAATAATTCAATTAAACAATAGTTTAATAAAATTCAATTAACTTCAATAGTTTAACGTTATTCAAAAAATTTAATTCAAATTAAGTCGGGCATATTATTTCTGTAAGAACACACTTGAAATGTAATTTTTTTGTTTCATTTCATCAATTTTTGTAGTTAGTTAGTTAGGTAGGTAGGTAGGTAGGTAGGTAGGTAGGTAGGTAGGTAGGTAGGTAGGTAGGTAGGTAGGTAGGTAGGTAGGTAGGTAGGTAGGTAGGTAGGTAGGTAGGTAGGTAGGTAGGTAGGTAGGTAGGTAGGTAGGTAGGTAGGTAGGTAGGTAGGTAGGTAGGTAGGTAGGTAGGTAGGTAGGTAGGTAGGTAGGTAGGTAGGTAGGTAGGTAGGTAGGTAGGTAGGTAGGTAGGTAGGTAGGTAGGTAGGTAGGTAGGTAGGTAGGTAGGTAGGTAGGTAGGTAGGTAGGTAGGTAGGTAGGTAGGTAGGTAGGTAGGTAGGTAGGTAGGTAGGTAGGTAGGTAGGTAGGTAGGTAGGTAGGTAGGTAGATATGGGTACCTAACCCAATCATAAATAACTAAGTTTTTTTTTTTGTTGTTTTTATTTCATAACTTTTGATTTTATGCTTAACGCGATTTAATCCAAATTGATAATAACGAAAACATTTCTTGCGGAACGTTTGAATGGATAGAGTTGAAACGAATTAAAATATGAACGACATGGTGCATGAGCAAGTTATTTATTTTATCACAACAATTTCAAACTTATTGCTTAAAAACTAAATTTAGTGAAAAAGTTTATGACAAAATCACAAGTTATTCTTTAAATACATTTTATCGCCAGTATCCTTATCATCATCATTGTAATCATCTTCTTCATTTTCATCTAGCCAAAACAAACTCGTTCTTCATCCTAGTTTAATATCCTGATTGGTCAGGACCTAGGTGGCTTAGGTCTTGACCAATCAGGTCCTGACCAAACAGATCCTGGCATAGGTCCTGACCAATCAGGTCCTGACCAAACAGATCCTGGCATAGGTCCTGACCAATCAGGTCCTGACCAAACAGATCCTGGCATAGGTCCTGGCCAATCAGGTCCTGACCACCTTGATCTAAAAGGACGAATGGGTCTGATGAACCTTTTCGACCTAAGGGGTTTACACTGGCACGTGGGGCAGTCGTTCACAGTTTCGTAACCTCCCGGACAGAAAACGCGACAGAGAACTGGTGGGCAACTTATCTCAGAGTCTGGAAATGAATTAATTGGTGGCCCAATTGGTTTTGGCCTAAGTTTCGGTGGCCAAACTGGTCCTGGCCTAGATTTTGGCCTAGGTCCTGGCATAGGTCTTGGCCAAGCAGGTCTTGGCCCCCATGGTCTAAAAGGAAAATTGGGTCTGATGAACCTTTTTGACCTTAGGGGTCTACACTGGCACGTGGGACAGCCATTCACAGTTTTGTAGCCTTCCGGGCAGTACAGGCGGCAGAGAAGTGGTCTGCAACTTATCTGCGAGGCTGAGAATGAATGGATGAACGAACGAATGAATGAACGAATGAATGAAGTAAAGGAATGAGTGACAAACAAATGGATTATCGAAACTAACAAATCTGAACTAGCAGTAGCAGAGCCAGGAATAACAACAGATATTTGCTCATCTTCAAACTCTGATTGCTAAATACTTTGATTAATTTTTCAATAAGCTTTCATTTCGGAGATAATGTTTTAAAAACGACAATATTTGATCACATTTACACATTGGCAATGCCTTTTATACAAAACTCTTTAAAAAAAAAGATTCATATACACTATAGATTAAATTAAAATGTTTGTTCATTGCGTCAAGCTCTCAAAACTAAATGTCCATCAAATATAAAAATTCACTTGAAATAAAATTAATTTCAATTGTTCATTCATAATAAATTTGCATTTTAAAAAACACCGCTTTTATTTTTGTGAGCTTTGATCACAATTCCGACTGTATCAATTATCTTTTTTAATTATTTTCTTTAATTGCATTAAGGTATCAAAAAATGCTTTTAAACCAACGCAATATAAAGTGTTTGAGCAAAATAGGATAGGCGAGAATATCTCTGGAGTCGATCCAGGTAACTTCAACTACGAGCCAGACAGTCGTAGACATTGAAGTGCAAAGCGTTTGAATGAAGAGACGAATGAATTGTGCGTACATATTGCAAGTTATTTTATTACGACATCTTCAAAATTTTACGTCTCAAAATAAGCATGGTATACATTGATTTTAAAAAATGTCAATTAAAAAATGTTTGATCATATGATTCTTATATTTTCATCAACCCATCTTTACCTTTATCTTCACCGTCATCTTCACCATCATCTTCATCATCATTTTCATCATCTTCTCCATCATCTCCATCACTTTCATCACCATCTATATTATTTTCATATTCATTTTCAAGCCAGTCCGTAAGTTCCTTGATTCGGACTTAGTTTCTCGGTTTTGGTTTCGGTATAGGACGAATCGGTATAGGACGAATCGGTATAGGACGAATCGGTATAGGACGAATCGGTATAGGACGAATCGGTATAGGACGAATCGGTATAGGACGAATCGTTCTCGGCCATAGAAACGGTCCGCGTCTACATCGGCATACCGTGCAACCATTCACAACCTCGAAACCTTGAGGACAGAACAGACGACAGACAAAAGGTCTGCAACGTCTTTGGGCGGCTACGAGGTAAATATAAATGAGTGGATGAATTAATGAATATATAAGTACACATATATCAATTATTTAATTATTTAATTACCCAATCAATCAATCAGTCAATCAATCAATCACAGGTCAATATAGATTAAATAAATAACAAACAAACAAATGAACGAGTAAATTATATAACCAATACAACGTTTTCAACATTACTTATGATAGAATCAACGAGCATTTAAAAAAAGAAAAATTAATGAAACTAAACGAATTAGGATTCAGATTAATAAACTAATGCCTCAATTTGGCGGAGCTAAACTAACAAACGTGCAACAGAAGCGTGAAAGCCACCAACAACAACAAATACTTCTTCATCTTTGACTACCAACTACTTTTACTAGCTGCTTCTTCAAAGTATTTTTACACCTTCTAACAATACTTTCTTTAATTAATAACAGTGTAGAGTAATTTATCAACTGAATTTGTGTTTCTTTTATAGAAAATTTTACTAATAAAAATTTAGGCTTCTAGATAATGAGTGTATAAACGTTTAATCATTCTATTTAAATTTACATATATGGAGACTCTTTTAGTTAATTCATGCATATAGCATGTTATTTTTCTTTTCTGTATTAACCACTTGAATAAATTTGAACACGTGAATCCCGAAATTAAAAATATTTGAACTACTACAAAGTTGAATGAATTAACTTTCATTGATGTATGATAATCGGTCTCATTTCTACCCCTTATTTCTTAAGAATCTAAAATTACAGTGACATTGTATTATTTCCGTAATACATGCAAATTTAAAGTGTGTGTATTGTGTGTACGTGTGGTGTGTGTGTGTGTGTTTGAATATATTGGTGTGTATGTGTGTGTTTGTGTGTGTTTTTATTTCTCTTATTTCTTAAGAATCTGAAATTACCCTACCATAGGATTTTTTTCCGTAATACACACAAATTTAAAGTGTGTATATTGTGTGTGTGATGTGTGTTTGTATGTGTGTGTGTGTGTATGTATGTGTATGTGAGTGTGTGTGTGTGTGTGCGCGAGCGCGCCCATATAGAGTTGTTATTAGTATATTTAAGTATTTTTTGTATGTGTGTATGTAACAATGGTAACAATGACATTCGTCATATATTCGAAATTATTTATAAATTTTATACATGGAACATATACCAATTATCATGGGAATATTGATTGACAGAAATGCTGTTGCAGTTCAAGTACTACAGCTCAATTCCTCCGTTAAAATTTCATGGTCCATATAGTTGATTCCATTAAATGATGAATGTACTTTATTCTAACAAACGTATATGTGTTCTCATACATATACATATACAGAAATATACACATACATATACATACACATACTTATATACACTCATAATAATTATTTCAGTTTTATCACTAATTTTACTAATCAAAAATATATTATAAACAAATGAAGATGCCCAAAAAACGTGAATAAACATTATTAATCTTTTAATACCATTTTAAATTATGAACACAAAAAACTTTAAACATGAAGCAACCAGAGGTTGTAAAAAATTGTTTATCTATGCATTAAAAGTTGATTATTTAAGAAGCCTTGTTTATGTGTGATTGATTTTATCTTGATTTTACTTTCTGATTTTCTTGGCGAATTCGTTGATTATTAGACTAATTAGATTAGTTAATTTCCTAATTTTATTTGATTTTTAGTAAAATTTAGAGAAAAAAGGATGTCCGGTGATGAACGTTATGATGCTGCGTTGATTGGCATTTTACAAAATGAAGGGAATGTGGTGAATTTTCTTGATGTCTTCTACTCATTTTTGTTCAGAAAGTTAGCGGGACGTTATTTATTTTTCCAATTGAAATTCGATTTTAATGTTTTAATGCTTTTTATTGATCATGATGTCAGTGAACAGTTTTTGATTTTATTCTATTCACCTGCATATCTTTTATTTTTATATAAAAATAAAATAAATTTTAAATAAATTTTTTTAAAAATAATTACTAAAAAATTAATGGAATTGTTTAATAATAAATAACCAAAAGGACGGATTTCTTCCGGATTATGCTCAGCCCCACTGACAAGTATGGATTCCAGGCTGGCGTAGCCAGAAAGTTGATTTTGGCTGTTAGTAATGAATTATTTTTAATTTAACCACATTCTTCATAGATTTTCACTAATTTGTTTTGAAAATTTGTTTTATAGTTATGTATATTCTTTTGTGAAACTAAACTTTTCAGATTGAAATATTTTTGATTTTTATAATTTAGTTTATGAATTGGAAATCATTATCCTATCTTAGATATATTTTTTATCAATAATTACAATCAATTTTTAACTTGATTCTTATAAAATTTGTTAGGGTTTTAAGAAATATGAATCAATGGCATCTGAATTGAATGCAAGGTTGAAGGCTCAGTACGAAAAATCACTTGGTAAGTACTACTACCAATCACCTTCATTCAACATTTACTAATTTTATTACTAATTTCAAAATAAATTTAATAATTTTGTTGCTAATCCTATAATACTAATTCTCTATATCTTCTGAAATTAGCGGAAGAATCTGCCAATATGATTGCTGAGAATGTTGCTGATGAGGTTGAAGTTGTTACTAGTGAAGAAACGACACCTCAACAACAAGTAAACCAATCGGAAAACATCAAAGAATTGCCAAAAATCGCAGATCCACAACCTCTTGGACAAGAACAGTCATCATCTTCAGCGATGGAAGTATCGGCTGAAAAAGAGGTATTGCCCTCAAATACTCGAGATATCGCAGAGGTTTCCAGTCAAAGCATAATGGCTGTTGCCTCTACAGTTACTTCTACCACAACTGCTGCTACTAGTCAAGAAAGCAACCACGCAGACCAAGTGACCAGTGGTGAGAATCTTGCCTCATCAGAAATGAGTGATACTAAGAACAATCCTGATAATGATCCTGAGCTAGAAAAGTAATCACTTAATATCATAATTATTATATCTAATTATAATCATAATTATTAATAATTATTGTCTATACATTTTTCTTTCATGGAATCTGTTGTCTTATGATATCATCCATAAATTGGGATCTTTTTCCTGTTTAAATCTTGTGTTCCAAAATCTTTCTCACGATAATAGCATCATTTTTTCATTTTGTTTGTTTGCCAAGGCTGCAGAAGATATACCAGGCGAATTCTGAATCATACAATGGCGCCATCAGAGAGAACTACACGTGGTCACAAAGCATCCTCGACCTTGACATCAGGGTCAAAGTTCCGGCACACATCAAAAAGGGCAGAGATGTAAAAGTAGACATTGGGAGGAAGCACATGAAAGTGAGCTATGTCGATCAACAGCTGCCTAAGTCCAGTCAGTTGGTTGCCTTAGTTGATGGAGAGTTGAGCTGGGATGTGCACAAGGATGAAGCTTTCTGGAGTTTGGTTCCTGGTGAACACATTCATGTAAGTTATTGCTGTTTCACTGTATTGTATTCAAGTATTTGTGCTCATTAATGTATGCATTGCAAATATAAAGGTACTTGTTTCACATGTGTAAAACTTTTAAAAAATGTTACTTCAAAAACTAGATAAGCTTAGAAAAAGTTCGAGATCGCTGGTGGGACTCACTTCTGACAACAGAGCCTAAAATTAGTGTACGCAAGATCGACGCACAGCGACCAATCACAGAACTCGATGATGAGTCGCAAGCAAAAATTGAGGAGATGATGTATAACGAAAGGCAGAAACAACTTGGGCTGCCCCAATCTCATGAAAAGGTTATTATCATTAATCCAAACATACGTTATCATACGTAGTAGAGATTTTCAAAATTTGGTTGCATCATTTCAACATTGTCAGTTAACTGTCTGATCAAATAATTTTATCCGACAGAACATGCACGAGATGTTGAAGAAAGCTTGGGATGTGGAAGGGTCACCATTCAGAGGGCAGCCATTTGACCTTTCAAAAGTCAACATCTCCCAAGGAGGCTCATTTGGTACCGGTAGCATGTAATTAGTTCATCGACAATGACGTTTGTATATCTCATATGAATATCTGGGCATACATACATGAGCTATACGTTCATTTTACTTGTGTATTATATATCGTACTTCGATACGTTTTTATAGGTTACTTGTTTTTATGTGATACTGTTCATAATCATAAATTACTGACTTACTTAAAATCTATTTTTCTATTTTATACACTTCTGCATGTAACGTAACATACATGTTTTGTATTTGTCTAATAAAATCTTAAACTAAAGATGTTTGTATGGTTTTTTTTCAAAATTCAAAATCAAATTGGCACTTGCAACAGTACCAATTGATTCAATATAAGAGTATCAAATCAGCGTATGACGTTTGCAGTTTCGCGCAATTCAATAAAAATTCGAAATTTTTTGTTATTAAAAGTAATTAGAATAATTATAAGTAAGAATAATTATGATTAATAATAACAATTAATAATAATAATTAATCGTAATCATAGATATCTCTGATGATTACAGGACCGCTCAATGTATCTGATTTAACAGTTGAGTTTAATAATCTTTGGGTATCTTCGTACAGAGTCTTGAATAAAGATTTCTGTTAAAAAATATTTAGCAGAATATTTATAATACGAAAAATATTACGGAACTGAAAAATAAATATGAAAAAATATTTATATGTTTATATATAATGAATGAATGGAATGAATTAGATAGGAATGGAATGAATTAGTGAAGGTGTGGAATGGATAGCCAATGCAACTAACATTTTGATCTGAAGATCCCACAGCGAAGTTAAGTTTGCCTTCAATATTGGTGCGATAATATTTGAAGAAGATGTGAATGCATATGATGCAGCCACAAGCTACTGAAAACACCAGATAGCTGTATGCTAACTTTATATATTGGTTTGCGTCTGAAAAACATTTTCACCTTGATTCAATACTTTTATTTTTTCCACATTATTTTAAATTTTGTTTAACTTCAAAAGAAAATTGAAGTTTCTGTTAACCAAAGTGTAGCCATATGGCGTCAATGATTTTCAGAATGTACTCGGAATACCACTTGGCTACATCAGCTCCACACTCGCGCTCAATCACAAACCTTTTGCACTTTTCGTAGCTTGTTAGGTGTCTATTAAACGAAGGTTTTGAATGATTGAACTGAAATTTTTTTAATTTGCATTATTTTTATACCCTAGAAGGAAATATACGTCACATTAAAGACAGAAAAAACAGAAATAAGTAGTTACTACAAAAAAATAAAAGTATAATAACGTCATATGCTTCTCAATAATTCCTCTAAAATTGTCAATAGAGTTACCCATTTCGTACAAATTAAACATGCCAAGTACACCGGACAACTTGTTGATGCAAAACTCTTCACAAGAATGAATGAGAAACTTCACTTTTTCTTTTGAAAAACATTTTGTTATGTTTGATTCACCTGAATGAATGTGTTTGTGTGTACGAGTGTGTTTGTGTGTGCATGTATGTTTGTGTGTGTGTGTGTGTGTAACCTTAAGGTATGATAAAATAAAAACCACTTTCGTAAAATAACTTAGTCAAATTTTAAAAAAAGAATGAAAATTAGTGAAGTTTTATATAGGTAAAACAATGCTAATATACATCACAAGCTATAAAGATTCCTTGCAACCTACCAAACTTTTTGACTTCTTTGCACAGAAATGAAGATCCATCTATAAAGGTGTGAGCATTTGCCAGAAAGAAATGACTCCTCTTATCGGTGCATGTCACTTTTTTAAATGGCGACAGACACTCTTCCAAAATTGATAGATCTCTAAACAAAGTAGTTGAAAAAATATAATATTAACATTAACATAAGCTATAATAGAACTTAATTATTCAATAATTATTATTACTAATACAATAAACTATTAATTTGGATGGATGGCACAGAAATAGCATAAAATATTATTAATATTAAATATTAATAATGTGTAATTGTAATAAAAAATAAAATAAACAAAGCAAAGCATAACAAAAATACTGACAGACAAAATGTAGGGAGGGCACTTGCGTTAAAGAGGGGTCCAAGTCGAAAAGTATTTTCTCTCGTCAGGTCGAAATTATGATGTATTTTCATGGGTAAAAAACAATTGTAGATCGCTTTCACTGTGCATGAATACTTGGTCAAAGATTGCTCTGATGGATCATCTACACAGAAAATGGAAATATTTAAATTGAAAAATTTAATTTCGTAAAAATAGAGCACAAACTAATAAATTGATACTAAACTGGATATAAAAATAAGCAATCCTAAAAAGTTCCAATAATAAATTTTTTGATAAAGTCGAAAAAAAATTATCATGTTCAGCATACATTTTCAAAGTTTTTAAATATTGCAAAAGTAAATGTTAATTTAAGTTACAAGAAAAAGAAGTATTCACAGCAACCTTTTTTAGTGTTTATCGCCTTTAGGAGATCAAATTTTTGACTTTTATATGCAGAAAACAGTTTTTTAAACTAAAATGTTGAACAAAATGCTCACAAACTACACCAAATAGCAACTTTTTAAGCATTTACGAATTACGATGTTACATCGCTGCTCGTTGCTTATATTTTAAAAGTTAATTTACGATCTTTTTCAAATATTTTAAAAGTTAATTTACAATCGTTTTCGAGTAATAGGCATTGATTTATTATTATTTGAATTACATTGAGGTTTACTTATTCAAATTGCACGTATTTTTTTATATTAGGTAATTATTTAAATGGAGTTTTGTACAAATTGTAACGCTAACATAATCGCGGAGGAAATCGATTGCGAGAAACTCTGTCCCCAATGTGGATTAGTTATCGAGCGAGACTGTTTAAGATCCGAACAGACATTTCCTACAAGATCCAACAATGACGCACACGTTTTTGTCAACCATCAGCCAAGACCGTATTATTTGAGGCATGAAGACAGTGAAAGACTCTGGCAGAACCTGGTGCGTTGCTTCAGGTTTGCTCGTTCAGTGTGCATCTCTCTCAATTGTCCTCGTACTCTCATCAATGAAATAAAAGATTTGATCAAGTTAGTTCTTTCACACAGTTATTTCAAGAAGAGGCGTTTAATTACAAAGTACACAATCTGCATATGCTGTATCTACCTGAAATGCAGATGTGCCGACTGGCCGATAACGTTTGCAGATGTCGTCAGAGTGTCTGAGAGAACCACCTCCAACTATGACCACTGGAGACAGAAGATTCTACACTACTTCCCAAGCATCAACAATTCAGTCTCAGTCGACATATATACACTGGCTATAAAACAATGCACAGAACTAAAATTCACTCCAAAAATGACCGACAAACTCAATGAACTTCTAAAATTCACTCATGATGTTTGGATGGTTGATGGCCGAAGACCAAATATCATTATACATAGTCTCTGCTACATAGTCTGGGTTACTGAAAACCTAACTGAAAGAATCAAAGTCACCTTTAAAAAGTATTGCACCCAAAACAAATTAACCAATTCAGGAGTCAGAATGTACCTCGATCGGATTCTAAATCTACTGAGCATACTGGCCAAACAGCTGCCATGGTGGTCTGAATATAACAGTGCGACATGTAAGAAAAGGCCAATGAGAGTTTTGTACGAGCTGGATAGCATATTAAGTTACCAGCACACTCTCTTTCAACAAACCATCAAACAGATGACAGATGAAGATGATGGAAATGTTGTTATTAATGATGACGATGAAGACGTTGGTAATGTTGATGACGAAGATGATGACGCATCTGACAAAGATTATGAAAGTAATGATAAAATTAATGATATCACAAATGATAGCAATCATAACAGCAACACTGTAGTGAATGAAAACAATTTTGAAAAAATCACTAGAACCGAAGCCAAGAGAAAATCGGAGCCAGAAAATACCTTCATGAGGAAAGTCTGTGAAACGACGTTAAGGAAGAAAAAATGTAACAGCAGCAATGACGACGACCAACAAGGAAGTTTTAATTTGAACTTGGACTTAGACAGAAGTGAACTAGACGACGACGATATAAATGAGAGCGAAATAATGAACTACATAAAATTCAATGACGAAGTTCACACTGCCATACAACAAATTAAAGGAGGCACTAAAGATAGCAATGTTACAAATAGCAACAATAACAATAATAACAACAACAACAATAATAATAATAATGATCCTAAGGATGATCTAAGCAGACAGACAGATAATCAAACTGGCAATTATGGAGAGAACGATGATGACAGATTTTTTTATAACGATGATGAAGAAGATAACAATAATAATAATAAAAATAATAATTATGACGGTGATACTCACGAACATGAAAATGTACACAACATCTCTCTAAATGATAGTTACACTGATGATTATGAAGGTGACAGTGATTAACCAAAAAACCAAGATATACTTTAATCCTTTAATCTAACTGATTTTAATTTGCAGACGCTAATTAATTAATTAGCTATCTTTAGCTGATTAATTAATTAGCTATCTTTAGCTATTTAATTAATTAGATAGTTATTTATTCTATTATATTTTTTGTAGATTAATTTTTGTTGACAATAAAAAAAGCTTTCCCAATTCATTCTGTTTATAATGGAGTAAAATTTTTCAAGCAATATTTAGGTGAGGTATAGAGCAATACAGACGCACTAACACGCATACACACGCACACGCACATACAAGCATATATATATATATATATAATACAAACCAAATAATAAAGTATAAAAGTTATCAAGATATATCTTGTGGTCCATCCTTAGCTGAATTTAAGCCAATTATCAAAAGAAGTTAAATTTGCCTATGTATATCAGACACAGAAATAAAAACAACGTATGACCAAATACGTATATATATATATATGTGTGTGTGTGTGCGTGTTCGTATAATGCGAACAAGTGAGCCAAGGTATTTCTAGATTTTAAAAAAAATTTGAGGTAATAATAATCAATGCTGTCATTTTCATTTCACTTATTCAGCCATTTATTCGTTCATTCGTTCGTTCGTTTACTCATTCGTCCATCCATTCATTCATTCATTCATTCGTGATTTTACCATCAATCTATAGATTAAATATAGGTAGTTATTAATATTTAAAAATTAGAATCAATCAATCAGCTTTACAACTTGGCCCATTGAAAAACATTTAACGAATTCTAAATAGTATTGTTATTTCTAGATAATGGAAATATTAAAGATAATGTCTCAACAAAAAGTCACTTTGAAAATGTGAATATATAACAGTGGCAGAAGATAGACGTTCTTTTGTTGAAGATAACATCATGTTAATAATTACCTATTTCTTCTTGTAGACTTGGAATGTCATCTGAATACCGTTTTCAATGTAGGGCACGTTGTAATAATCATCAGGGTAGCTAGGAACCAAAATTTGTTATAATTATTATATTATATTTATAATATTATAATTATTTTATTATATTTATTATTATATTCACCACATTACTTACTCAGTGTCCAGGATGAACTCGCTTTCGAAGTCGGGCATGAAGACATTGCATACGTACGAAGCATCGATTCGAGTTAGGTAGATTGTCTCGCACAGGCCACTCTCTATGGCCTCCTGAGATTTAGTGGTAGTAAAGTGAGATAATGATGAAATGAGAGATACAGAAAAAGAGAAAAGAGAGAAAAAAATGGAGAGAAAGATAAAGTAAAATTTAAAAAGGAGAAGAATTAAAATATAATTAAAATAAGGATTCTAAATCAAATGAAAAAGTAATGATTGATGATTTATCATCACCGTTATCATCATTGACATTATTAACTTTAATTACTATTTATAATCCTGACCTTGTATATAGCACTACCCCCCAAGAAGCAGATCTTAGTAACGAGTTTGTCATCGTAAAAGTCACAGGCCAGACAGACTGCTTCCACGAGTGTAGGCACAAAGGAGCAAATTAGGTCGGGGTAGCTTTAAAATGAGGTCAAGGGTGACGTTAAATTACGTGAGATTAACTTCAAATTAGGTCAGGATAAACTTAGATAAGGTCAGATAAACTTTAAATTATGACAAAGAAATAGAATTACTGAAATATGTATATGGCATTACAAGCTTATATTAATTGTCTTTCTCTTACTAATTTAGTTATTTATTAATTTAATTATTAACTTGGTTACTTATTTATTTAATTATTTATTAATTTAATTGTTAAAATAAATTTTTTTTAAATTTACCTCAAAAGGTGCTTTTTGGAACCGACAACTATATAAACGGCACCTTCAATATGCCTCTCCGCGTCCTTCATTGATTCCCATGTTAGCCTGCCTACAATGATGGCTGCAATTGGGTTTTTATTTTTATTATTTTTTAATATCACAATTAATATCACAATTAATATTATGATTAATATTATAATTAATATTATGAGGATACTATGATGATGAAATATATTTTTTTTATAACCAACCAACAAGCTAACCAGTTTTTCCTTGCAAAAGAGATATAAGATGCTTGTAATCCTTACTTTGCGAAATTGAAAAATTTTAATTAAAATTAAAAAACCTCAATTAAATAATCAATCAACCAACCAATCAATCAACCAACCAATCAATCAACCAAAATCCCAAATGACAGACTCTATATATGGCCAAGGCAGATGATTTTCATAGCCTATTCCCCTATTATTGTCCATAGCAACAACGGAATATATAGGTAAATTATCTTTGTTCTTTACGTCATCCACGGTATTTCTTATCTATTTTTTGAGATGAAAGCAATAATGAGGATGGTCAGTGCATGTTTAGAGGTGTATAAGAATATAGAAACGCTAAAATAAAAATAAGACAATGTTAGTACAACAATGTTCTGTGTATTTGTATAATTAAATTTTTTAAAAATTAACATTTTAAAAAATAAAATTGAGAAATTAATTAAATAAATAAATTTATAGATAAGTGCAACATATATTTAAACTAAACTTTGCCTATTTCAAAGTTTTATATCCAAACAAAACAAAAAAAACTATACATCCTTGTATCAAAAAACATTTTTTTGTGCTCCAATCATTATAAATATTATTAGTATCATCATTGATATCATTATAATAAACATTAACATCATTTACTCACCTTATGATGGCAAGTGAATTGATAGCCAATACCATTTTCTAACTGCACTGATGTACTATGACCAGGATATCTTAAGTATCGTATCATAATAAAATTTAATTATGATGAAAATTATAGTAGCAAAAGTATAATTATATTTATTATTTAGTAAAAGTAATCTGAGGTAGGTTTATATAGCATCTTTATTTGACAACAAAATTAAATCAATGATAGCATTACTGATGTATGTACTGTAACTAGCAAGATAAAAATCATCAACTTTGAAACCATTTGAAATACTGATTATCAAACATAGAGAGAGAGAGAGAGAGAGAGAGAGAGAGAGAGAGAGAGAAAGTGATGTAGAGAGAGAGTATTTTAATTTAAAATAAAAATAATTATCCCAATTATTATTATAATTATATAATAATAAGTAATCAGCAGACTTAATGAGTTTATAGGCATCTTGGTTGAACTTTGGGAAGAATGTATCACATTGAAAATCATTGCTGATCTCTGTGATAAACACATTATAGCATGTACTACTGGCAAGAGCTAGCTGCATTATGATGATAAAGGATGGTAAATTTATTTATAAAAAATTATAAATATACATACATACAGTATATAAACATGTGTCTGTGTGTGTGCGCGTGTGTGTGTGTGCGTGAGTGTTTGTGTGTGTGTGGGAGAAAGAAACATACAATAGCAATAATTATGGTTTGAATTATTACAGTAGAAAGAGTACATCATAAATACTAGATCCACCAATGATGAAAATCTTATCAATTGATTTGTCGGAGGCCACAAATTCGACTGCATCTTCGAAGGATTTCGAGACGTGTAACCTTCCATTGATGTCTGGACATCTGCAAGGAAAAAATCTGAAATTAATGGAGGTTGATTTAACTAATCCAGGTTAATTTTATCCTAATCCAGATTTAAATAATTAAAAAATTAATTTAACTAACTCTAATGTCCTACTAATTACGACATTCAGTCTATTCTTAAGAGGTTTCAGATTGCTTGGAATTGAGTCCCAGGTTTTTCTTCCCATGAGGATTGCATTTTTGGAACCTTTTCATTGAAAATTTCAATGCTGAATGTATTTTTTTAATGACTATCAATTTAATTTGAGGGCATCAATTTTGTTTGATCAAGTATAAAAAATGTTTTTCTAAATAGTAAACATTTTCATCATTTTCATTCTTTACAAAAAATCAAAATGAAATAAATTTTAATACAATATTAAAAGGATTGAAGTGTTAAAAATGAGAATAAAACAAACAATAAAAAGCAAAATGACACAAAATGAAGAAAATACAAACAACAACAGAAAATTTATAATAAAAAGTACATACATACCAAGAATGCTTGTTTCAGAAGTGAGCTTTCTAAAAAATGTCATGTCACCTCTAAACCAAAATGAATAAATAATTTATTCAATCAATTAATTCATCAAATTATATAGTTTAATTGATCTTGTGAGGATTTATTTATTCATTATTGTTATGTTAATTTTTTGTAACTTTAAAAGACAATGAGTAATTAAAACTTAACTACTTATTTAAATAAATCCTAATTCTAACTTTTGGCTTACGCTTATTAATAGTAGTACAATGATCAAGAAAATAAAATTTAGCTTGGAAATTTATTGAATTATAATTTATTAATTAGGTAATTAATGTTGAAGATAAGCACCAACGGAAGTTTCCATGGAATTGAATTGTTCAGTCCAATCCCTCTATTCTTAACGCACAGTGCCACGATAATTTGTAACTTCGGTTGCATGATTAAAATATTTTCAAAAATGTTTAAATTTCTGTATTCAAATTAGGACTCTCAGAAAAAAAATAGAAAATTTAATCGCTGAATAAAGAAGGGCGTATAAAATTAAAAAAGTTTTTACTTTTAGATGCGCAAAGAAACAAGACTGGTATAAATATTTTGCGAAATTGTATTTTTATGAATTGCAATAAATACATAAAATGTGTTCGTACCTCAATACAATATTTTCTACACAATAATAAAGCCTTATGCATACATATATAAGTATCAATGCTTTTATTTATTTTATATAACTCTATATAACTCAACTCTATATAACCCAAGACCCCACTCTATATAACTATATAACTCAACTCTATATAACTCTATATAAACAGTTCTACATAACTCTATACAACTCTATTTAACTCAACTCTACATAACTCTATATAACTCAACTTTATATAACTCTATAAAGCGTGGCGTGGTGGAATAGGGCGGTTGCCAGGCACTTGCTGGTACATACACACGTCCATCCAGTTAAAAAAATTTTTTGGAAAGTTTTTATAGTTAGGTTACAATCGTCATCATCGATATCGCAATGAAAGAAATTTAAAAAGTTTTTTAGATGTCAAGGTCGGTCCTTCCTTTGATATGTTGGTAGATCACGACCATCATATGTTAACACCATATTTCTAATCATGTATGTGCCTTTGTACGTGTGTTGTGTATGTTTGTGTGCATGTACGTGTGCGTGTATGTGCGTGTAAGTATAAGTTGGTGTTAGTACACGAACACTTTGAACAAGTACTGTTACAGCATCGTTACTAACATTTTTATTATCACATTAGTTATTATTAATTTCATTACAATTATTTCCAGTATTTTATAAACCATGAAAATCTCTTGAATACTGATTTTTGATAATATATATTTATGTGCGTGTGTGAGGGGGGGAGTAGGTTTGCGTATGATGGAAAAATATGTAAAGAAAAAAATTACTAATGGGTGATGCTATTATTTTAAATAGCTTTGAAAACAATTTGAATTGAAATCATTTTACAATAAGTATAGACTTTGGTTTTAACTCTGAAATCACGATGTTTTTATGATTTTTAATTGAAATAAAAAAATTATGATTTAACTCAACAGTGATAAATAATTAGGTACACACCTACGTAACAGTTATCAGTCAAACGTATAATAGAATAAAGTGTAAAAAGTAATTTAAAATGTCACATCTCCGTCAGATAAAAAACAAAAAATCGATGTTAATGTTGTCGTCGTTGTTACATTTTACTTTTAAAACATTGATGTTATTTATGACATAATTTGAGATGTTACATTTTGTTGGTTTTTCTAGTTGTTAGTTTCTAGTTGGTTTTTCTGATGTTAATGTTTTAACTCTGTTGTTCATGACGCCAGTGTAGTTGTAGTTGTTGTTTGTGATGGTGGGGGTTTGTTGATGTTAATGATTATAACAAGGCTGGTGTTTTTGATATTTTCGTTGTTGATGTTATTTATGTTGATGTTATTTATGTTGATGTAATCACAGATTCTTGATCAACTCGTCATCATCGTCGTCGACAAGGATGTATTCTTAGTGGCAGCGTTCACTTTCTTGGAATCAGCTGCAGTAGCGGTCAAAGCGTTCAGCTTGCTTTGTAGTTTGATGTACGAGACGTCGCCATCATCTTTTCCTGTTAACACCATATTTCTAAGGGAGGGTATCTCACTGAATGGAAGGAAATCTGGACCTATCGTCATGATGATGGGTAAGAAGATGACGATGATATTCAAGATGATAATGAAAGCTATTAAAAATGATGTGATAATGAAATTTATCCTAAATGTTATGCCCTATTACACAATGTCAAAAAGACAGTGGTGACTACGTAAACCATAGTGGAAACCATCTTATTCACAAAAGATGAGATAAGAAGGATGGCAATTGTATTAGGACAGATACCTGTTGCCAATCCATTCTCTCTCCTTTCAGAAACGTTCTCGAAAAAAGTTTCGTGCTCTTCCCATCTTCGATCGCAGGCGGCACAAAGAAAATTTGACTGAAAACATGGACAGCTACACTCTGTAAAAAAAATCGTAAAATTCATCATCATCTTAACTATAATCATCAACTTTTTATAACTATTATTGTCGTCAAATTTACTAAAACATTTGTTGTTCCCTTTGTAATCAGAGGATAATTGATGTATTATGTAAGCATTATAGCTAACTAACTTGTACATTTATGGTTGCCATTAGCGTCATGTTCTTCGTGAGAATGCTTGCATTTGCATTTGGCCCGCCATTGGTTTTCTTTGAAATCTTTTCGCCTTCTCAACCAAAACTCGCCGACTTCTTCAGGGTTTGATGGTACCCAGGCAAAATGCTTGCAAGAACAATTTGGGTATTTGCATAATGTTCGGGAACCTGAGTCTGTATACAATTTTCAAACATCATTAGAATTTTTAAAGATTTTTTCAATGAGATTGTTCTAATTATTACGGGAATGAGAAACTTTTCGCTGTACGAAAGAGAAATGGTAATGAGGATACTTAACAGCCATGTCAGTAAAAGTAAGAAGCATTTGTTGTTACAACCTTTTATAGGACCATGTTGTTGCAGGCTGTGGCCACAGAAACATTTGGAGAAGGAAGCTACTCTCTGGCAGTCCCATTTCTGGTTAGGACACCTCCAACTAACGTATACACCTTATGTTTGTTCAACGAGTTTAATTAAACAATTAAATTTATGAAGTTTAATTAAACAATTAAATTTATAAAGTTAAATTTGGATTTATGTAGTCCTAGTCCACCAAGGTATTCTAATCATGATTGGTTCTTAATGTTTAATTTTTATTACTGTCTTACCGCTCTCCACGGCTTCAATTGCTGCTTCTTTTTCAACATGGAATAGTTCTTTAACTTTGGAACCGAGATTTGGATTCATGGCTCTAGCAAATGAAATAACATCGTAATTTTTAGCTGGCTCTATGACTTGAGTTTTGCAATCTGGATTGAAATATGGTTTGTATTCAGTTGAGTTTATATGCTTGTAAAAGTGAGAAATAGTGTGATATGTTAACCTGAACTGAATTTACTGGGACTTTTGCTATTATTTTTGCTTCTGTTACGTCTTATTAATGTCGAATTCATTAAATTATTATAACCCTTGGCACTAAGTGGAGGTAGAAATGACTGCTTCGAGTTTTTCTTCATATTTATTATTTATAAATTTTATTACAATTACACAATTCAAGTTAGTCGAAGGAACCGAAGGAACACAGTAATCTTTCTTAAATAGAAATAGATGGTTCGTGTAGGGAAAAAGGTTTTTTTGTGAAATAATGTTGCCGTATTTGAAAGAAATAGCGTTGAAATTATTGGTTTGTACTGTTTTATGGTAACTTCCAGGTTTACAAAAAATTTAAATATGTGAATGTTTTGAGGTTACCATGGTATACAACGAAATGCCTGGTCTGATTATTATAAGCGATTTTGAACTATTTTTAAATATTAAAAAACTGATTAATACTTTTAAAATGAATAAGCCTAGTTTCAAAGGATTGCATTGAGTTTAATGAGATACTTCTTGCTATAAGTATATGGTCACTATATTTTTTCCATCACTAAACTTAAGGCAACTCAAACTAAAGCAAGAAGTTTTCCTTTACACATTGACACACGTCATTAATGTGAGGTGGCATATAATTCTTTTTAATTTCTTTCAAAATTCATGCTAAATTAAAAAAAGTCGACTTTATTTTTCTTTTCCGTAACAAGGTTAGTTTCAGATTTTTATCGATTAATTTTTGCCAACAATTAACTTAACTTTTACTTCGCATTCGTTCACTAATTTTTTAACTAACCGGTTTTTTGTTGGGAAGACACCAAGCTGCATTCAAATAATAACTACTGGGATACTCAAAAATTTTTTAAAATTTAATAATATTTAAATTTTTGCAGCTCGATTAGTAAAGGAAAAGCAACCATGACGGTGGCAGCAGCAAAGTCAGTGGTGTCATTTTTCAAAATGTCAATTGATAAGCAGGATACATTGATTAAGTTATCCATACTGGTCATTGCTTGCATACTATGTTAGTTATAATTTATACAACTTAATTTTCAGTTAAAATATTTTTTTTGGTTCTTTTTGTTTTTGTTTCTTCGTAATTTAGGCTCCAATTCTTACTTTTATAAGTTATCTATACTTATGAATTAAATAAAAAAACTCTTTTGTTATATATTGCTAAATTTTAATGATGAAATAATTATAAAACAGCATTCAGTGTCAGATTGTTCTCAGTGCTTCGATATGAAAGTGTCATTCACGAGTTTGATCCTTACTTTAACTATAGAACCACGAGGTTCTTGGCAGAGGAGGGCTTCTACAACTTCCATAACTGGTTTGATGATAGAGCCTGGTACCCTCTGGGTAGGATCATTGGGGGTACAATTTATCCAGGTTTAAAAAATACTTCATTTAAATTTTTTCAACATTTTTTAATAATGCATTCTAAAAAATTTTTATTTAGGACCTTGTATATCTTTTTCATTTTTATATAATTTGCAAACTCTAATAGAAACGTTTTAAACACTCCATTAAATTTTACATAAATTTTCACCTCAATAAATATAGGCTTGATGCTGACCTCTGCCCTCTTGCACAACATCCTCAATTTCTTACACATCACTATTCACATTAGGGATGTGTGTGTATTTCTGGCCCCACTATTTTCCTCTCTAACAGTCATTGTTACCTACCACCTTACCAAAGAACTGAAGGTATATATACATATAATAATTACCAAAATTTGTGTTTCTTTTGCAATACAAAATTATTTTACATTGCAATATTTGTGCATCCCTAATTGCAATTACACTAAAATTAGGATGTCGGGGCCGGATTGGTGGCTGCCTCTATGATTGCCATCGTCCCGGGATATATCTCTCGATCTGTCGCTGGTTCTTATGATAATGAAGGTAAGATTTTATATATAGGTTATGTATAAATGTGTATGGTGTGTGTGTGCGTGTGTGCGTGCGTGTGTGTGTGCGCGTGTATTGATGTATGTGTATCACAAAATACCAGGTATTGCCATATTTTGTATGCTGCTTACCTATTTATTCTGGATCAAATCTGTGAAAACCGGTTCATTATGTTGGTCTGTTATGTGTGCTGTAGCTTATTTCTACATGGTCTGTTGCCTTTTTTATTTTTCTAAATTATCATCATTTTCATCATCATCTACGTCATCATCTATGACAAACGCAACACTATTATAAGCAGCACAATCATCTTCATCACCGTCATCGTCATCTTCACCACCATCGTCGTCGTCGTCATCACCGTCGTCAGGTTTCATCATGGGGTGGATATGTCTTCCTCATCAACCTTATACCATTGCACGTGCTTGCATTGATGGCCACTGGAAGATTCTCACACAGGATTTATGTCGCTTATTCCACGGTTGGTTGGCTGGTTGACTGACTGACTGACTGACTGATTGATTGATTTTGAGGATTAGTTGGTTGGTTGATTGATTGACAGATTAGCTGATTGATTTTATTATAATCTATGCACACATCATAGGTTTACTGTGTTGGAACAATCCTGTCCATGCAAATCCCATTTGTAGGTTTTCAACCAGTTCAATCCAGTGAACATATGGCTGTTAGTATTTCCATCCTCATCATCATCATTTTTTCATCCTCATCATCATAGCAGTCATATCATCATCTTTAGCACTCTTGAATACGAAAACATTCAGTCATGCAGAATGTACCTAATTGTATTAACTCATTTAAAGGCGTTAGGTGTGTTTGGCCTATGTCAGATCCACGCATTCATCGACTACGTTCGATCCCGCCTAACTCGAGACCAGTTCAGTATCCTGTTTAGGAGTCTGGTAATCTTCACTGGCGTCGTGTCCGCCACTGCTTTTGGAATCGCTACTGCTCTTGGGAGTATGCTGTTTGTGTTTTGTGTCTCTTGCAACTGTATTTAGTTTTGCAGTGTTGTGGTTCAATTGTTGGTTAGGGTTTGTTTGTCTTTGTGGCATGTTTTGATGATGTTTTCTTGACTGCTAAGTGGTTGTGTATGTTTTTGGTTTGTGGTTTGTTTGTTTGTTGCTGTTCGTTCGTTGCCAGTAAAAGTTGCACATTCTGACATCACATCTCACAGAGATTTCACCGTGGACTGGTCGTTTTTATTCTCTGTTGGACCCCTCGTATGCCAAGAACAACATCCCAATCATCGCCTCCGTATCTGAACATCAGCCGACGTCCTGGAGTTCGTTCTATTTTGATCTTCAGATCCTTGTCATTCTCTTTCCCGGTTAGTTGGTTACTTGTTTGGTGGGTCTGTTTATCGAGTGGTTGTTTGATTGATTGATTGATTGATTGATTCATTCATTTTCTTATCTATCCACTAAATAGCTGGTCTGTATTTCTGCTTCAAGAAGTTGACAGATGCAAACATCTTCATCATACTCTACGGAATTACCAGCATCTATTTTGCGGTAATTTGATTGATTGATTGATAAATTTACTAGACAGTTGAAAAACTAATTTGTTGATTTGTTGTTGACTGATTGGTTGAATTAGCCATACTTTATTTTTTTCATTAATTTTATTTGACCTTTGCACTAACACACAGTATATGCATTTAATCACAAATTAGGGAGTGATGGTACGTCTAATGCTCGTCTTGGCCCCAGTGATGTGCATATTGTCTGGCATAGCAGTGTCATCAACTCTCAGTGAGTACATGAAAAATTTGGACTCTGTGCAGAAAAACAAGAAGGCTAAGAAACCTGATGCAAACTATCCTGTTAAAAACGAGGTCTGTCTGGCTGGTTTGTTGTTTGACTGATTGGTTGATTTGTTTTGTTAACTGATAGACTAACCCAAACCGAATGCCCACGTAGGTAGCAACAGGTGTCGTGGCAATGGTCACCATCTTCTTGGTGATGTACACTTTCCATTGTTCATGGGTGACTTCTGAGGCTTACTCGAGTCCTTCCATCGTTCTGGCAGCCCGAGGTGGAGACGGGGGAAGAATTATTTTCGATGATTTCAGAGAGGCCTACTATTGGCTCAGATATAATACTCCTGAGGTTGGCTACTTGGTTAACTATTTTCAACTTCGACTCTGACCCACCCATCGCTTGACCTTTAACTTTGACCTCGTTATCATGTGCAGGATGCCAAGGTGATGTCGTGGTGGGATTATGGTTACCAGATCACTGCAATGGCCAACAGAACGATACTGGTTGATAACAACACCTGGAACAATACACATATCTCTAGAGTTGGACAGGTTGGTTGATCAATAGACTGATTGATTTTTGTTTGTTGATTGATTAATTGATTGATTGATTGATTGATTGATTGATTGATTACAGGCCATGTCATCAACCGAAGAAAAAGCATACGAAATTATGAGGGAGCTTGATGTCAGCTACGTACTTGTTATTTTTGGAGGTCTCACTGGATACTCATCTGATGGTTAGGTGATTGATTGACTGATTAATTGATTGATTGACTGATTAATTAATTGATTGATTTATAGTTTAATTAGTTTTTCTGTTAACTGTTTGAACATCTGCAGAGATGATTGGTTGATCTGTTGATCGATAGTTTGTATGTTGAAGATGATGACGAATTTCATTTTTACTCTCAGATATCAACAAATTTTTGTGGATGGTTCGTATCGGCGGCAGCACGGACAGAGGAGCCCACATCAAAGAGACAGACTACTACACGCCCCAAGGAGAGTTCAGAGTAGACAAAGAGGGCTCGCCTACTCTCTTGAACTGTCTCATGTACAAAATGTGCTACTATAGATTCGGTTCTGTCTATACTGAATCAGGTGTGTGCTTGTATGTGTGCATGCTTGCTTGTCTGCTAATGTAATAACAGATGTAACAACACATTAACAATGTTACAACAATTATAACAACACATTACACACCCAACCAGGCAAGCCAACTGGATATGATAGAGTACGAAATGTCGAAATTGGGAACAAGGATTTTGAGCTCGACGTTCTTGAAGAGGCCTACACAACAGAGCACTGGCTAGTTCGCATCTATAAGGTCAAGGACCTTAGCAATCGGGGCAACTAATTATAATAAATAATTAGTGGCCAACTAATATTCATTAAAGTTTTTGGGCTTGTGATTGGCTGAATTTCTGTTAAGATGGGAGAGTTTCTGTCTATTTTTGTTTTGTTCTGCTTGTTTGTTTTTTCTTTGGTTGTTTTGATTATGAAGAGTAATTATTAAATTTGTTAGATAACAGTTTACATGTTAAATAATTAATGTTATTGTCTGTTTTTTTACATTATTAAGTTATATCTATTATTATTATTACGCCAACTTTTTTTTATTATTTGTATGGATTTTTTAATTTTGATTGAACTGTTGACTGACTGATTGATTGAGTGGACTGAACTGAAATATAGTGATGTATTTCTTTTTAAAACTAACAGCCAATTTATCTATCTAGATATATATATATATATATATATATATGTGGATGTATGTATGTACGTACATTTTTTTTATTAGTCTGCATGTTTGTTTGTATTTACGCTAAGTTTAATTTTATTCTACTAAGGTTTTATGATTATTCTGTTTTGATTATTGTTATTATTATTATAATTATTATTGTTAACGAAATAATTACTCATAATTATAAATAATATTTATTGATTTTTTTAATGAACGTATTTGTTATTTTTAAGAAATAAAATAATTAAATACTAAAAAATAAATTTTTGTGTACTTTTTAAATTCATTCTAAAGAATTTTAAAGTTTAATAATAATAATAAAATAATTAATATATATATTGTAGATTAATTACACCGTAATTATTTAATTCGAATTATGGTTTATAAATCTTTGTTAGCATGACGCTAATTCTACAAAAACAAAAGAAATTTTGATTTATGGTTATGTTTATTCGAAATAGGATTAAAATATACGGACTTGTATGAATAATCTTTGTGATTTTATATTAGTAATTACAGCTAATTATTTCTTAATTAATTAATTACTAATAATAATTGTTATAATAAAAATTAATTTGGTGTGGAAGAAAAACCGTTATGACACATAGCGGTAATTTGGTCATAGTTAGAATATACGGCATCTTAGATAGAAACACATTCGATGTTGTCCTACACAAAGATGCAGACGTTGATGAACTAATCAGACGAATTAAAGATGTCATTAAGGTGGATGATGTTTCGCTAAAGATCCTATATCCCCAAGAAGATGTTTACTACAATGGCGATGGTGCCATCAAAAATTGTTTTAGAGACGGACATGTCTGTCCGTTTTTCTTCGACAAAAATGAAATTGATAGAAAGCTGACTATAAATTTGTCGAATGTGTATTTGCCGCCCCAAGCCGTCAGTCAGACCACGATGAAAAAGTTCTCGCTCAATACGAAAATGGAACCATTTCGTGGGGAGAGTTTGTCAAAAATGTGTTTTCCGAAGGAAGATTTGACGGAAACGAGTGCCGATGCAGAAGTTGTTGATAGTGTAGATGAAGAGAAATGTTATGAAGATGGGGAGGATCATATTGACAGCCTCATCTTTAGCGGTCCTCCTGTCGTGCATGTTATCATCCAAGATGATAGAATCATTGAGGTTAAGTAAATTAATTTAAAGTTATAAAATTTACAGATTTTTCGTAAAAATTTTGTGAGATTTCCATAATAAATGTGTTATTGAGCTTTGTATTCAATTCTTGCTATCGAATAAGGTCGGTCAGTACAGCTGCAGTAGAGAAGCGCAAGACGGCAAATTCAATCTTGCTTTCTACACAGCACCAAGTCCTGATGATGACGACGACGATTTACGACGTAGAAGAAACGATGAAATCTCATTGAACCTGACAAACCTCAAGAAAAACCTCCCAATCACGCTGGTAAATCAAACCAGTCTGATGCCCAAACCATTCGCTATTTTCAACAACGAAATATCTCATTTCAGAGGATTCTCATTGAAATCTCAAAACCAGCAAATAATACCGGACCCTGAACATGTCGTAGTGAGCAGCGAAAGTAGAAAACAAAAATTAGATAACCTATTAATTGAGCATCAGCAGGAGGTGGACAGATTGAATGAGCATAAGGAACAACACATTAAACAATCTCAGACGCAAAAAAGCAATATGGTCACCGGCGTCCAACACGGTCCAAAAAAGATTACCCTGAAGAGAAACACCAGGCAAACATTAGCATCCACTCGTCTGCAAAGACAAAAAACTCAACAGCAGCAGCAACAAACTCAGCAACAGCAGCAACAAACTCACCAGCAGCAGCAACAAACTCACCAGCAGCGTCAGCAACAATTGCAGCTACAGCAACGTCAGCAACGCCAACAGCAACAACGACAACAACAAGAAACGAACGTTTTTCATCATTCTCATTATCATCCTCTAACAGCTTATCCAGCGCCTCCAATTTCACATCCTCATCAGACACAGCAGCAGCAGCAGCTTCATCAACAACAAACGACGACGTTTCCTCACCAACCACATGCAAACAGAACCAGTTCTTTTAAATACGGTATAACGCATGCCCTAGCCAAGTTCCATGCCATCAAAGAAGTTCAACGTCAACAAGATAAAAAATTCAGTACAGCTGAAACTGTCAGATTTTTCGGTACCTACCGGCCAGTTAATTTTTATCATAATTGATGAAATATAGAAAATTCTTTCAATACTTCCCTTGAAATAATTTGTTTGATTTTTTTTTTCCTCTTTTGATATTTGTTTCAAGTCCTTCAAAGAATTGAGAATGGGTTTTTGCGGTATCAAACTATTTTAAAAACTTGCGTGACTGACTGCGCACAGCATGTACATAGAATATCAGGCACAAACACACAATACATGCACGCAAACTCTAACTGGAATACACGACTCATAGTTAATGTTAGTTTCATTTATAAAAATTTGTGGTTGCAACTTTTTCAATCAAATTTTAAAGTATTTTTCGTAATTTTTTTAAAAATCAATTTTTAATAGAAAAGAAATCTAACAAAAAATATAGAAATATGTTAATAGAAACAATGTAATTTGGTGTCTTCATGTTATTATTTTAATTTCTGCTTCTCTCAAGTTCAATTTCTCAGCAGCTTTCTTGAAGAGATCAGCATCTGATAATGTATGGTCTGCAGTTTTTAAATCCTTCATCGTATCTATAAACCTACAAAGTTATTAAAGGATAATTTAATATTTATTTATCTTTAGAAAAAATTTTATGCAATTATTGAATCAACCAATGACCAAACTAATTACCTTTGGTTTGCATACTTCTCTTCAATTTTTGTCAGGTCAATCACTTCATTTGTGTCAAAACTGTTTCTATATTTTCTGAAGTAAACAAAAAGAGTGCAATGCAAAATCACAATATATAATGGCAATGTATATTACATTATCTACTATTCAACTATTCAATTTTTTCATGTTGTAATATAATCATCTACTCTCAGTAAGAATAAATTGATAGAGTAAAGAATATGTTGAACTTACACTCTTATAATATCTTCTTTATAAAGAATATCCCTGACCTGCCCTTCATCAACTGGCCTATCATACTTTGGGTCAATTTTCGGTGGGAAGGCGGCCATGACGTCATACCAAACTGGTTTATCTATGTCTTTTAAAACGCCTGACTTTAATAACCCACTCACCCTGAATAAATTTTGCAATTCTAGTAATCCATTCTGACTTTTCTTACTAAAAAATTAACACCTACACAGTAAAAAACTAAAAATTGCAAAAATTAAAATTGCAAAAAAAATATAAAGAAAATATTAAAATTAATAAATAAATTAATATTAACAAGAAAGAATGATAAACCAATAATGAATAAATGAATAAAGTTGATCAAAAATGGTTTCAAAAATAATCAAATGAGTAAATCTGAAACACCTCGTAAATACACTTCCAAGCTTTTCAATCCTGCTACCGGCCATATTTTACAGTTTTAACCAACTTTTTTTAACAAAATTTATCTAAACCGAAAAAAATCACCAAGGATAAATTACTTTTAAAAAATTATTTATCGCTCGATCTTGGAAATGTACCAAATACTTAGAATACTTTGAAATTGAATAATAGATTAGAATCATGGATATATATTATATCCATGAGTAGAATACCTGAAATATTTTGTTGCACAGTTTATACTACAACTTATAAATGCAATAATTTGTATATTTTTCAAGCTTATTTTCTACATTCTACATAAAAAATATGTAATTTTTACAACTTATTGACTACATTTACGAAGAAAACTTAGAATCTATGAAATATTTTACAATCTTTAAGTGCATTATGTATATTTTACAACTTATTGTCTATATGTTTACAATCTTTAAGTGCATTATGTATATTTTACAACTTATTGTCTATATGTTTACAATCTTTAAGTGCATTATGTATATTTTACAACTTATTGTCTATATATATTAAGAAAACTTATAATCTATTAGATAATTTACAATCTATGAGTGCATCGTGGATATATATATATATCCATGGAGTGAATTATGTAATTTTTACAACATATTGTCACGGATTTCGGAATCACAATCACCGTCGTCTATCTTGTCACTGTTGTTCTTGTTGTTGCTAGCCATCACAATCGAATCAAATTATCACAATATTTTAAATTTAATAGTTTTAATAATTATTAATACTTTTAATTATTAATAAGATATATATATATATATCCATGGAGTGAATTATGTAATTTTTACAACATATTGTCATGTCTATGTCTGCAACTTAAAGTGAAACTGATATAAAAGGAATTTTTACAATCTACTTTCGCTTATGGGTATGTTGGCCGTTAAAATATCAAATGTGTCTCTTATTCCGGGATATCTTATTAATAATTAAAAGTATTAATAATTATTAAAACTATTAAATTTAAAATATTGTGATAATTTGATTCGATTGTGATGGCTAGCAACAACAAGAACAACAGTGACAAGATAGACGACGGTGATTGTGATTCCGAAATCGGTAGCGTTAAAAAGTTGTTGGAAAAACTGCAGAAGTATTCGGCGATGGATAAACTGGTACGTTTTTTTTCTTCAATATTTTAATTTTTATTAATTTCACTTATTTGTTTTGTATTCAAAGTTAAACGTAAAACGAATTAAGAATATTCAAAGTCAATCCCTTGGTCAATCATTGATGACTAATCTAATCCTAATCTAATTACTAATCTTTATTTATTAATGTTTAATCTATATTTATTTTATCTAAAATCTTTTTCTCTCAACTTTAATACATTTAATTTGATATTCATTCAAATTTAGTGTCTGACAAACATGTCTTTCATCCTGAAAGTCTGCTTTTAATTTAATTTATCATCTGTTTCCTATTAAATTTTTTCCCAACAGATCAAGAAAGATGAGAAGAAAATATTGAAAGTACTACAGAAACTGGAAAGTTGTAATATGACAGTAGAAATACTAAAGGTAATTTCATAGAATACTGTTAACTTTTTTTATATTGTACATCATATAATTACTAATTTGAATAATAAATTGTTAAAAAATTTTTTCCTACAAATTTTAAATTTTAAAAATAATATTTATAAACAATAAATAAATTTTTATTCATATTTTCTTCCTCCAAACAGAAGACAAAAGTCGGCCTTCAGGTCAACCAATTGAAGAAGAAGACAGACAATACTGCAATTAAAACTCAGGCCAAATCAGTAGTTGAAAGATGGATGAAAATTTTTGGTTAATTTTACTTTTTAATCATTCTTCATTGTTTAATATTCACATTATTATTTTTACTATTAGCTATAGTTGTAGTAGCTTTAGCAGCAGTAGTAACAGAAAAAAACAGTAGTTGAAAAAAAAAAATTTTCTTATAGATGCAAGCACAGCCAAACGAAAAGAAGATAAGAAAGCAGGAAAAAGTTCAAGCGGTGTGGCTAAAACGCAGCCACCACCCTCGCCATCAACTCCATCGCCACCGCTACTACCACCATCACCAGCCACGCCGACACTTCCTTCACCACCATCAGCGCCGTCAGCTAATTTAGAAAAGAAGCCCACAAAATCACCAGTATCGTCATCAGCAGTAGCAGCTGCAGCAGCTTTAAATCCATCATCATCATCACAACTGTCATCACAGTCATCGTCATCAGAGTCTACGCTGGTTAGATCGTCGTCATCATCATCTAAAAGACTCAAAATAGATGACGGTCATTTTCATACCGACGATCCAGTAAGAGTTAGTACGAGGAATATGTTATTCAATGCTCTGAGGAGTGAAGGTAGCATTAAATTGTTATGTTTATAAATGATGATGATGACGACGATGATGACGACGACGATGATGATGATGATAATAATAATAATGATATCCGACTCAGGTGATGACGAATCAGACATTCAACAACTGGCAGCTGAGATAGAGAGCTGCATATTTGATGAAATGAAGGACACTGGTACAAAATATAAGAATAGGATTAGGAGTAGAACATTCAATATAAAGGTTAGTTATTCATTGTCATTCAATCAATCAGTTAATCTATCGATCAATCAGTCATGCATTCAGTTAATCAACCAATCAGTAAACCATAAATCAGTCAATCAACCAACCAATCACAACAGGACCCGAAAAATCCTCAACTCAAAGAAAAAATTCTAAACGGCCTAATCACTCCGCAGAGACTGGCCGTCATGACATCGACAGAGATGGCCAGTGATGAGCTGAAAAATTTAAGAGAGAATTTTACTAAAAAGGCAATCCACGAGGCTCAGGCTCCATCTATCGCTGCTGCAAAATCGGATCTATTCCGCTGTAGCAAGTGCGGTAAACGTGATACCACTTATAACCAGGTACATCCCTGTTACTGTTGTTACTTATTATTATTAATATTATTATCGTTATTGTTACTATCGTTATTGTTATTATCATTATTAACTTGAGTTGTTAAAAACTCGATAATCCACGTAAGCACTACCTAATGTTTACGGTTTGTTTAAATTTTGAATGAAAATGATTTTCCAGGTGCAAACATTGAGTGGAGATGAACCAATGACGACATTTGTGGTCTGCAACCAGTGTGGAAATCGTTGGCGGGTAAGTCACATTCACACACGCGCGCACACGCACGCACGCACACACACACATTCACCGCACTCTCACACGCACTCTCACACATATACGCAAATCAAATCTTACATAGACGCACTACAAGTATATATATACACATTGAATTACGTTTGATTGATAGTCTGATTGTTAGATAGATAGATAGATTGATAAATAGATAGACTGATTGATTGTTTGATAGAAGGTATGGTAGATAGGTTGATTAATTAATTAATTTAATAATTGATTGATTGATTTTATTTTCCCTCACAGTTCTCCTGAGGTTGATCATCTTACAGTGTGGTACTATGAAAACCGCCTCCAGTTTATGATTTAACATCTGCAATTCTATTGTATTCATTTTTTTTTAATTTTTATTTATTTATTATAAACATTCATTTGTGCTTTCTGTGAGTCACGTTTTTTTTTAGTTACTCACTTTAATAATCATCCCTTTATCATACTTTGATATTGACATTCATTATCATACATAATTGTATCAAAGCTTTTGATAGAGGCATTTTTGTGAAGTTTGTTGAAAATATTCTGTACATTATGAATGCAACTTTTTAGAATGCGATGTGATTTAATGCATTTTAGTAACAAGTTCAATTATATTTTCGCTTGAAGTTTGTGAACAATTTTCATTTAATAGAATTTGAACTAAGACATTTTTGTTAATTCGGTTGTAAGATATTATATCCGAACTATTTTTTTCAACTGGAAAATTCAATATTAAATAGAAAATAATGTTATATCTTAAAACTTGAAACTACACTTTACTTTTAAATTTAAAAGTGAATTAAAGCTTTTCAAAGTGTAAATAGTTAAATTTAAAATCGTAAAATTATATGCCGAGATAATATTTACTTTATTTTTATTTATTTATTTTTATTTAAAATTTTTTCGATGAATTGTTTAAATTTTAAATTACATTGTTTAAATATTAAAAGGAATTTACATATTGATTTATTTTTTATTAAATTTTCAACAAATCAAAAATATGTATACCACAAATTTTTTGAAAAATCCTCCAACGACATCGACGACGGACTTGATGAATTGTTCCTGGGGGAGTCCTTTATTAATTTCCACACCTTCTTCATCGTTGCATAATTATAGTAACAGTAACAAAAATTATGTAAAAAAAAGATTTAGTAGAGGCAAAGATGAAAATAATACACCAACTAAGAAAGCGGAGAAGAATCTGATTAAAAAGAAAATTAATTTATTTGGTAAAGTTGAACAATCTGCTAATGAAAATGATAATAATAATAATGATAAAATCACAAGAATTGATGATGGCACTGAAAATCTCAGCCAAAAAACATTAAAAAGCGATAACTCACAGCATAGCAAAAAACAAAATCACATGGTTAACAACAACAACAGCCAAGCCTCTAAGATTAAAAATAAGAATGATAATTTAAATAATAATAACGTTGATGATATTAATGATAATGATGAAAAAGATGATGATCAATTGTTATTATCATCTTGGGGATTACCAGAGGTTATTTTAAGACGCTATCAGGAATCCGGCATTGAAAGATTATTTGATTGGCAGGCCGAGTGTTTAAGTACTGGAAAAGTTTTAGGTTAAGATTATGAGGGTGATGGGTGATTATGATGATGGTGATAATGATGGTTATGATGATGGTGATGATGATATTAATATTAAACATTAAATTGTTTCATGAATGTCTATGATTTATTTGAATTAAATTTTTTCAAAAATAAAAAGATCATTTTATTTTACTTTCATTTGAAGAAAGGGGGAATCTTGTATATAGCGCCCCCACCAGTGCAGGCAAAACTATGGTGGCCGAGCTACTGATGTTGAAATCAGTGTTAGAGACTAAACGAAAAGCTCTATTCATCCTACCGTTTGTGTCAGTAGTTAGAGAGAAAACAAAATATTTACAAGTTAGGATAGATTATAACTTTTTATTGCTATCTTTATTATTTTTTGTTATAATTTTGGTATAAGTATGACAACTTTGCATAATTTTTTTTGTTCCTAGAATTTATTTCAAAATGCTGGGGTCCATGTTGGTGGTTTCTATGGTAACCAGGGACCTGCTGGTGGCTTTCCATCCATTGACATTGGCATCTGTACAATTGAGAAGGCCAATAATTTGATAAATAGGTTGATGGAGGTCAATGAACTTAATAAATTAGGTCAGATTATGATGGTGGTTGTAGTGATAGTTTTTACTCTTCAACATCATGTAATTCATCAGTCATTGAACGTACCAACTGGTCACTCATTCAATCAATTAATCAACCAATCAATCATTCATTCAATCAATCATTCATTCAATCAATCAATCATTCAATCAATCAATCAACCAGTCAATCAACAAATCAATCATTTGAGCAGGCTGCTTAGTGATAGATGAACTGCACATGGTAGGAGACAAGCACAGGGGCTACCTCCTCGAACTACTCATCACCAAAGTCAAATACTCTCTCTCTCTCATGAACGACAGCAAACAACGACAACAGCAGCAGCAACAACAATCATCATCACAACTTCCGTCATCATCATCTTCATCGTCGTCGTCATCATCTTCCCCGACCATCCAAATAATCGGCATGAGTGCCACACTGCCGAATTTGGAATTACTATCGACGTGGCTGGATGGCGACCTGTACACCACGCGCTACAGACCCGTGCCTCTACTTGAAATGGTTAAAATCGGTGACCAGCTGATCAACTCTGATGGAAGATTGTTGAGGAGTTTAGGCAACAGTAGGCTAGTTCTCAGTTGTGATGTCGTCATAGTATCATGACGTCATGACGCTGTAAAATTGTAAACATATATAATTAAATACCGTAGGTTCAAAAACGACGAGGATCACGTGATCCACCTCTGCTCGGAGACAGTCGTCAACGAAGGATGTTCAGTTCTGATCTTCTGTCCAACTAAAAACTGGTGCGAGAAACTGGCCGACACCATCGCCAGGGAGTTCTATGACGTCATCAGGGCAGCCATCATGGAAAATAATGTACCTGGATATGAGGGTATGGATGCTATTTTTTCAAAGCAAATGAATCAAACGAATGAATGAACGGCATATTCATCAATTTCAGTCACCAGCAATAAGTTTCATCCAAACGAGCGTGATCTCACAGACGTCCTTGAACTCTTACGAAGGTCACCATCTGGCCTCGATCCGACTCTCGGCAAGATGGTAAGATGTGCCGTGGCCTATCATCACGCAGGTTTGTTAGCGTGTTTCACATTTTGTCGTCCAATCAAATGGCTAGAAATTACAAACCAATCATGTTCTTTTGTTAGGTTTAACCTTTGAGGAACGTGACATTATAGAGGGCGCTTTCAGGTCAGGAGTGATCAAGGTGGTTGTGGCTACCAGTACGCTGTCTAGTGGAGTCAACCTGCCGGCAAGAAGGGTCATCGTACGTACCCCAATTTTTCACGGCTGCCCCATAGATGCCCTGGTTTACAAGCAAATGATTGGTCGGGCTGGTCGAAAGGGGGTTGACATTAAAGGTCTGTGATTGGTTGGCTAGCTGGCTAATTTTTAATTTTTTGTTGTTATTTATTGGTAGTCTTAATTAATTTTTTGCCGTAAAATATATCATTAATTAATTTTTGTAAATGCAATTTCGAAAATTATTATTGTCCTCTTCACCATATTTCAACGAATGAACCAGGCGAAAGCGTACTCGTATGCAAGCAGTCAGAATCGAAAATAGGGATGTCCCTGATGACGTCCAATCTTGAGCCCATCACTAGTTGCTTGAACTTGGGCGGGCCCGGGGTAGGTGGGCTGAGTTCATCCATGAAGAGGGCAATTCTAGAGGTGGTATTTTTTTTAATTCACCCTGTACTAAATTTACTTAACGTTACCGCTATTAAACATAATTATAGAAATAATTCTTTCATTTTTACTAGTTATTAAAAATATTTAAGTAAAAAACTGACTATAATTTAATAATAAAAAATTGACTATAATTTACCAATAATTATAACTATAATATCATAATTTCCCTCTGTGAACAGATAATAGTAAACAAAGTTGCTAGTACACTGAAACAAGTAAACGTATATGCTAGATGTACAATGCTGGCTGCCGCTATGAAATTAGCCACCGCTGCTACTACGACAGCAACTACTACAACCACTACTACTACTAATAATAATAATGATAATAAGGCTGATAATGATGATGATGGTGGTGGTGGTAATAGTAATGATGAAGACGCTGTATCTACATGCGTCAAGTATCTTGTAGACAATGAGTTTGTTCAGATAGTTAAAGGTACCTGATTTAATCTGTTTTCAATAACTACAGTGAAAATTTCGTAATGATTTTATTTAATTATTGATGATTTTTTTTGCCTATTTATTTTTTAGAATTAGTTTTAATATTTCTAAATCAAAAGTTGCCAAAGACAAAGAAGCGACAACGACCACCACAACCACTGCTGCTATTACTACTGCAGCTAAAATTGGCAAAAATAATAAAAACGTTAATGAAGATAGTGGCGATTACATGTACGTGCCCACTCAGCTGGGTCAGGCGGTGGTCAGCTCTGGGCTATCGCCAGACGAAGGGCTGAAAGTTTTTGTGGAGCTGCAGAAAGCTAGGAGATGTTTCGTGTTGGAGAATGATTTGCATATTATTTATTTGGTTCGTTGTTGTCTTTGGTTGCTGGTTGCGTTGATGGTATGAAGGAATAGTAAATGAATTAGCGAATGAATAAATGAATGAATGAATAAATGAATGAATGAATGAATTAATGAACGGATAGATAGATGGTTAGTTGGATGAAAGATTGAATGAATGAACGTTTGAATGATTAAAACAATCGGCCAATTTAAAAAAAAAACAATCAAACGAATGTAATAAATTAAGAAAAATTAATAAAAAATAGTCGATCAACTATTAATTTTGAAGGTGACGCCCTTGTATATGCAAGATCAGTTCACGATCGACTGGTACAACTACCTGTGCATCTGGGAGGGGTTGAGCCCTGGTTGCCGCAGGGTGGCCGAAGTCGTGGGGGTGCAAGAAATATTTCTGTCAAAGGCTGTGCATGGAAAATTAATGCAGAACGCTGATCGATGCAAGTCTTAAGTTTTCTCTTTCTCTATAAAGATTCAAACAAATTTTAATTTTAACGTTTTTCAACGACCGACCAAACGCAGCGGTTGAAAGAATGGTATCTATACACAAACGTTTCTACATGTCTCTGGCTTTGTATGACCTCGTTAACGAGGTGCCCTTGAACTCTACATGCCAGAAGTTCAAGGTCAATAAAGGCTCACTGCAGACTCTTCAACAATCTTCCTCCACATTTTCTGGTATATTATGTTTTATTGCTTATTCTTATAAACACAAGTTTCATCGTCACCGTCGTCGTCATCATTACTTTTCTATAATTTCCCCGACCATAACCTAGGTATGGTGACGGCGTTTTGTAGTAAGTTATGTTGGCACAACATGGAATCTCTCTTTCAGAATTTTCAGTGCCGACTTTGCTTCGGTGTGCAGCCGGAATTGGTGGATCTTGTCAGGATAACCATTATGAACGCTCAACTGGCTAGGTGACAAAAATGATTATGATAATGCGACTGAAGATAACGATGATTACATTGTTTTTTTTTTCTAGATGTTTCTTTTCAGCTGGTTACGTCAATGTAACCTCGCTTGCCACAGCTAACATCGATGACGTTGTGAAGATTGTTAAGAAGGCCTCTCCATTCCTCAGGTGGTTTTGAACTTAGATAGTCATTAATATTAGCACCATTGCCCTCTTACTCGATTTATTAAATTTTTTGTATCGTGAATGATTTGTTCAGTTCTAAAAGGATGGAGGGTGAAAGTGAAGCTGATTACGAAGAACGCATGCGAACAAGCAGGTGCGTGTTTGTGTCCGGCGGCGATCGAGGAATGACGCAACTTGAAGCCGCACAACAAATCCTGCAAGAAGCCCGCCAACTCGTGGCTGACGATTTGATCAAGTTAGGAATCAAGAAGTCTGTTAGTGATGTTGATGACGGCGAAGATTGCAATGATAGTAATACAAAAATTTCGCCCACTGTCTCCTCGTTAAATCGATCTAAGTCAAAAAAATACCGACGCCGTGTTAACAAAAGTGCAAAAGTTAATTCAAGTAAGCGAGGTGGAGAAGTTCGCAAGTCTCAAAATGTTAGTCGTAATAAGGAGAAGTCAGTGAAGATTGAGAGAAATGTGAACGTTTCTATACTGACGCCTCCAGTTTCATTTGTTGACAGTCAAAAGTTGAAAAGAGATAAAACTTTTAGTCAAAATATAGTAAATGATAATGTTAAATGTATTGTAAATTTAAACATACCACCTGCTAATAATGAGCAGATTAGTAACTTTTCTGATGAAAATCACAAAAATAATTTAAACGACACTTTTAAAATCAATATCGAAATTTTAAATCAGAATGAAAAATCTCAGAAAAATGTTCACAATAGTTTACATACTAGTCGTTCACCGTTGAAAGTAATTGAAGGGAATGTTGTTATTCAGACGCAGAATATTGACAACGAAGCAGACGATTCAGACGATATGTTGTTCGAGAACGATAGTGTAGATGATGCCTGCTTGATCGGTCAGGCAGACTCCAGTCAAACAAATGTGGGTAAATGCGAAAAATCACAACCGATGCCAGATAACATCGGTATGAGCGAGATAGGGGGAGAAAAAAGTAAAGATGAAATTTTAAAAAAAGACTCTGTGATAGGTGGTCAGCTGATGAAAAATGATCAAGCAGATGACGCCATACACGATGGTCTCATTGACGAGTTTTTACTAAATTCATTTACGAACATTAAAAAGCCTGTTGATTGCACTGAAGTAGCAACAAATCTAATTGAGGATGGTTCAATGAAGCGTTTACTTGCTGGGCAACCTTTCGTCAGCACGAGTGAACGAACAACAGATAAGCTCAGCATGAATTTATTTGACGATGCTTCAAATTCAAGTGAGGTGAGTCTGTTTGATAGCAGCCAATGTTTACGCGAAAGAAATGATTGTGTCGGTTACAATGATGATGTGGACTTAGAGGGAGACCTTAACAATGTTTCACCAAGGGAGGAAGATCTGTTTTCCACGTCTTGTTTTGAAAGGAAACAATTTTGCTCCATGCTTCTCGACGGCAGGACGCCTTATTCCGAGGAAATGTTTGAGGAGAACGCAAATGACGTCAATGAAAATTATGTTGTAGACGCCAACGCTGAAATAAATTGTGAAATAAAGGCTGAAAACTATGAAAATAACGAAAGAATTTCTGTTGCTGATGATTTTTTTGAAAGAAGCACAGTTGATATTGAAGACAAAGCTAACGAGCAAAAAGTTGATGATGGCAATCAAAAAGTTGAAAATCGTGGAGATGGGGAAATATCTTTTGAAGTCAGCGACCTCTTTTCTAGTTTTCTTACATGTGCTCCTTCAATAAAAACAAAACATTCCCCCAATTTGCCAGAAAAAATCGAACAGAATGATGTAAAAATTGACGGCAAATCCCAGATTGAAAGTGGGTCTAATATTCAAACAAGCACTCACAACAACGACAATAACAACAGCAACAACGACAACAAAAAAGAAACTATCTGCAATAATGTTTATAATTTTGACACAAATCTTCCATTCACGCCTACTATGAAAAAATTCAAGTCAGTTGATATTTCAACGCATATAAGTCCCGATGTAGAACTCATTATGAACGCATTCTGCGACGACACCTGCTGGGAATCCAGCAACAAAAAACGAAAAAAACCGCCAAAAAGGGCTCTAAATTTTTTTCTAGAAAGTTCAAATGCCGTTATTCAAGATAAGAAAAAGTTGAAAATGGACTGCAACAACACAAAGAAAGAACAAGAAGGTAACTTTACGGAGTTGAAAACTTTTGGAAATACTCCTAACATCAAAGAAAGTATTCAGGCAAATAAGTTTTCATCTAATATTCTTGAAACTAAATTCCATGAAACCACTGATGAAACTGTCTTTACAAAAAAAATCACAACACCAGAGTCTACGAATTTAGTAGCGAAGACAGCAGAAGATCAACTCAATCAAAATATCGATCCATTCCTTGATCTGGATAGCGATGATTCCGAATGTTTCATCCCACCTACTCCGCCACTGCAAACCACTCCGAAACTTCATTCATCGAGAAATTTAGCTTCAAATATTAAATTAACTCCTCGCCATCTCCATCTCGGAGCTTTTAAAACGACAACAGATTACTCTGTTAATAATTCAAACAATAGGGACAATAATAATAACTCTAACAACAACGACGACAACAACAACACAAATATGAATGACGTATTAAAACGCAACAAAGTTTCAACCATCGCTAACACGAACGATAGAAGCATAACGTTGTCTTCGACGCTAGAATCTTTAACGATATTCGATGTTGCCTCTAACAGAGATTTGTTTGAGAAATTTTTAGATGAATGGTCGACCAGATATGAATTCTCACTCTGTGTTGCTTGTGATAGAGTTAAGAGTACTGAAAATAAAATTAACGAGAAAAAATGCGCGTCTATCGGTGGAAAGTTTATTCATAAAAATACAATCAGTAGGTGTTGTTGTTGACTTGTTTTTTTTTTACAAATTTCAAATTTTTCAAAATATTTAAAAAAAAATATTTACAGTACTACGCTACACTTCAATTTAATTGAAAACAGCAACAGTAGCAGCAACAACACCAGAAACTTTCACAGACATAAACACTCAAAACGGCTTTCCGACTTTGGAAAAGAGTATGAGAGTTGTTGGCATGGCTGTTTCCTGGGAGGGGTGTGACGTATACTATGTCTCGTTCCTAAATTCCGTTGAAAATTGTCAGTAGGTTGCCTGGTTGAAGGTTTAGTTAGCATTGATTGATTGATTGAACAGTTGGTTGGTTAGTTGGTCGATTGGTCGATAATAATTAAGATATGGCTTGGCTGCTAAGTAGTTGCTTCTAGGGATCTTATAATGATTTTTTCAGTAGATTTTAAACATTAATTTATAAAAATATCCACCAATCAGCTGACTTGGATAGATCGATGGCAGCCCCTGACCTCGACCAATCGTTGACGGTCGAGGAGAGGTGGAAAGGTGTTAAAAAGGTTCTTGAAAAAGGTACCTTTTTTCTAGCACTGAATGGATTTTTCTATTTTAAAAATTAGCCTTTAATAAAATTTTCAACCAAAAATATTTACAGTAATTTGTATGTTTACCATTGATAAATTTTGCTCTAAAAACTTGTATAGATATCGACAAAACCGGTTCTCGCATTCAAGTCGAGATGTTCGATTCGAAATCTCAATACCGACTGTTGAGTAGCACGTGTAGCATTCTCATAGCCGGTTTGTTGGTCGATCCTAAGGTGGCTAGTTGGTTGTTGGATCCGTCTTCCCGCGAGCTTAATGTTCATAGTATGGTTACGTTGTGCTGTCCTGAGATGCTCTTTCTCTTGGATGGTGAGTTTGGTTGATTAATTTATTAGTTGGTTGATTAAATAATTAATTAGTTAATTAATTATTTAGTTGATTGACTGACGACTGACTGATTGATTGATTTTTTGATTGATTAATTTATTATGTATACTGTAAATCATACTTAAATTGTAAACTCCCAATGCATTCGATATATCAAAATGTTTCAATTTAAAACATTGAGGTATCGACTGCCCGTCCGGACTTATGAGTTTAGGCATGACGTCATCTGAAATTACGTCATCGAGAATGAGATCATCAGTGGAGAGTGTGCTGGTGAGGAGGAGTATGAAGACGATGAAGATGAAATTGAGTGAAGTTTCAAATCTATGGCAGTGCTTCATAACCCAGGAAATGCCCATTCTCAAAATCCTGGCTGATATGGAACTGAACGGAATGGGTTGGTCAGTTTATCCCGACATCTGATAATGTTTCATTCATTTGTTAATAATCTCTTTTTCAAGGTTTCGACTACGAAGAAAGCGAGCGTCAAAAGTCACTACTACTGCGTCAGTTAGCTCACCTGGAAGAGAGCTCCTACTCGGCGGCCGGTCACGATTTCAATCTGGCGAACCCTGATGACGTAAGCAGGGTGTTGTACGTGGAGTTGGGACTGCCTCCATCGGGAGAAAGGGGCGTCGTGAAGAAGGGTCGTGTTGCTGGAAGAAAGGGTCGAAATGGTGAGTTGCCATGACGTCATGATTGATTATGATGATGATGGCGGTAGTTATACTGCTTTTAATTAATTACATCATCGTCGTCCTCATTGTCATTTTTCTCTTCCTTGTAACTTTCTACTTTTAGGCATAGCAAAGTACAGCACGGCGAAGAACATTCTAGAAAAGTTGAAGAGCCTGCACCCTCTACCGACCATGTTGTTGGAATGGAGGAGATTATCTAGCGCTCTCTCCAAGGTCGTCTTCCCTCTCCAAAGGTACCGCCATCATCATTTTTATTTCCATCATTTTATTATCATAAAAGTTGAAACTGTCGTCACCTGCCATTAATATTTAAACTTCTTTCATTTTTGTCATTACCATAATTCTTTATCACCATCATTACCATCAAGCAAAATCATCGCCATCCTCGACACAAGGTCAAAGTTCAAGGACGAACACGTGACCCGGATGTACCGGATAAACGCGGTGGCCGACATGCACACTGCAACCGGTCGGGTCGCCATGAAGGACCCCAATTTGCAGAACGTTCCTAAAGATTTTCAAATGGGCGAGGGTGGGTTATGTCACGATTCTCATCATCATCATGATTATTATTCTATTATTGTTATTATTATTGTTGTTGTTATTATTGTTATTGTTGTTTTGTTTTTTTCTTCGAAAGACCCAGAAACAGCCGAACTAGTGAACGAAAGTTTCAACTACAGTTACAAGTTATTTGAAGATGAAGACGACGACGACGATGATGGTGGTGATGGTGATGGTGCTGGCGATGGAATGGATAACAAAAAAAAGAGCAAATCTATTAGCATGCGACATTCGTTTGTGGCTTTCCAAGGTAGATGGCCCTGTTAACGTGGCTTGTTGATGTGCTTGATGACGTTGACGAAAATAAGAGATGTGATGAAATTAATTTTTTGAATATTGGCACCAAACGACGAGTTTGCCATTTTTTTCTCCTAATTTCAATTGCCAGGTGGCACGCTACTGGCCGCTGACTACTCGCAGCTTGAACTTCGCGTCATAGCCCACATGTCGCAGGACAGAAAACTGATTGACCTTTTGAACTCTGGGGCCGATGTTTTCAGAAATATCGCCTGCCAACTTCACTCCTGTGAGGAGGCCGAAGTGACCGATTCGCAGAGGCAGCAAGCCAAGCAGGTGAATTCGTTTCAGTTTGTGTAAAAGTAAAATAATTTGGGTTATTGTTGTGTCCGTTATAATAATTATAATGATGATAATTGTAATAATTATAATAAAAATGATTATTATAAAGATATGTTACGGTATGATATATGGGATAGGAAGCAAGGCCCTTGGTGAGCAACTGAAAGTCAGTGAAGATGACGCTGCCGTTTTCATGGAAACCTTCAAGACCAAGTATTCTGGTGCGTTGAAATTACAAATTAGATGGTTTTTGATTGATTGATTGATTGATTGATTCATCATTCATTCATTAATTCGCTCAATCAACCATTCAATTAGTCATTTTTTCATTCGTTTACTCACTCATCTATCCATCTTTTTTCCTAGGCATTCGTTCCTTTCTCCACAACACAGTGTACAAATGTCGTACGGATGGTTACGTCACGATGACGTCAGGTAGGCGGAGATATCTCAAGCGAATCAACGATCAGAATGTACATCTGAGGGCTCATGTACGCACTATGATGTTTTTTTATTTCACACATCATCAATTTCAACGTACATATAAACTTGTACTACATGGTGTATATATATAAGGGCAAATGAATGAATGAATTAATGAATGAATTAGTGAATTAACGATGAATTTGTCGATAAATAAATATTTTTAGGCAGAGAGACAGGCCGTGAACACAACTATCCAGGGTTCAGGTGCTGATTTTGTAAAGAGGGCCATGATAAAAATTGATGAAGAGTTAAAGAAACAAAACTGGTTCGCTAGCTCTGACGGCGGTTCTTATCTACCCCATCTGCATTTGAGAGGTTTGTATATTAATTTGTTCAGTCGATCATTCATTTATTCATTCACTCATTCATTAATTAATTTATTCATTCATTCATTCATTCAGCCTGTCGCTTATTTCGTTCGATGTTAATCATGTGAATTTAAAATTAACTAAATTTGATTTAATGTTAACCAGAAAAATTATTCTAAACTCTTTGTTTTAAAAGGTGCTCCTCTTGGCAGTTTTAGAACCCAAGAAAAACCGTACATACCACCGAGGGGTGCCTATTTGATCCTTCAACTACATGATGAATTAATTTACGAGGTGAATGAGCGAGATCTGACCAATGTGGCTGAGATAGTTAGGTGGGGTATGGAATCCGTTGGTAGAGATATCTCAGTTAGGTTGCCGGTGAAGTTAAAAGTCGGAAAGTCTTGGGGGAAGATGAAAGAATATAAACTGGAATGAGTGATTGAGTGAGAAAATGAATAAATGAATGAGTGAATAAATGGAAGATTGAATGGATAAGTGGATGAAAGATTGATTGAATGAATGAATGGATGGTTGATAGGCAGTTCAGATATTTTTCATGGATGAAAGTTTATTGTATCATATCATATCTCTTCATAGTTTATTGCCGTTGTACATATTTAAGTATTTTTTGTACTATTTAATTCTTTGGTTCTATTTAAATTTTTTATTTTCATACTTGCATGATTTTCACTATTTCTAGGATTTATTGTAATGTAAGTGTTTATTCTTAATACTTTTATCTATTCATAGTTTATTTTTCCCAATGAATTGTATAATTAATCTTTTACATATATTATTATGTGATAACATTATTTAATGTAACACAGTAAAGTGTCTGGTGTTTATATACAATGTGTACATTATATATATTTAATATATATATATATATATATATATATATATATATATATATATATATGTTAATGTTAAAAAATAATTTAATTAATGATTTTATTTAGTTTTACAATGAAAAATTAAAAACCAGTGGCAGTTAGTTTTTTTTTTATTGTCGCTGTTTATTTTATTGATTTATTTTTTATTTATTTTAATTTTCATGAATTATAAATGTGTGCATTACGTTCTGGGCATGACATAAAACTGCATCCACGCTGCCTTGCGTGCTTTTGAGCGAAAGGCTAGGCCTACCGCTTATAACTGGTGGTTGTCGTCAGGATGGGTGTCCGGATGTAAAAACTTTTCCCCAAATTATTCCTATGCCATCACAAAGAAAAACAGCGGCCCCTAGTCCCCAGCAGGCCTTAAGTGGTCAAGGGGTGCCAAGAATCCCTGGGAAGTATGCAATAGCGGAGGGATGTTGCAGAAAAATTCAGAATGGCCCCTCTATGGTACTTAGACTTGGAACGCTCAATGTTGGATCACTGACTGGCCGCAGCATGGAAATCGCAGAAATGCTCGAGCGTAGAAGGATTGACATCTGCTGCCTTCAGGAAACTCTATGGAAATCGAATAGTGTCTGTCATGTCAACTCAGACGAAGAAAAATATAAACTATTCTGGAATGGTCAAAAGATGGCAAAAAATGGTGTTGGAATTTTTGTCAGAGAACCGCTAGCCCAAGAAATACTGGATATTAAAAGGATTAATTCACGTCTCATGTGGATCAAGCTTCGCATAGAAAAGCAAACAATGATTATTTTTTCTGCATACGCACCAGAGACAGGCGAATCAGAAGAGATGAAAAATGACTTCTGGACTGCATTCTCTGACACCATCTCAACAATACCAAAATGTGAAACAATCCTGATTGGAGGCGATCTCGAAATTGTTTGTAGATCTGTACGGTTAACTGTTTGTTCGAGTTTGAACAGGCCTTGCAAATTTTTTTTATTTATTTTTGTTTTTATTTTTGTTTATTTGGTTCATTCAATTTAGTTGATTGATTGATCGGTTGATTGATCGGTTGGTTGATTGATTGACTGACAGACTGGCTGGCTGGCTGACTGACCGACCGACCGACAGATTGTTTGATTGATTTATCTCATAGTATTGTATACATGAGAAAAAATCCGATTAAGCCAACCTACGGCTTCAGTAAGCCACTGTTTTTCACCTGACAAAAGCAATTTCTATATTTATACTGACAAAAATAATTGTGATATGAATATATTGATTTATTTAAAGCATTATATGTACAAAAAAGTGCTATCGTAAGAGTTCTATGAAACCCTGTAAGCCAACGTTTGATTTCAGCAGCCAGTTTCTTATGAGCACCAGCAGAATGTAAAATATTCATTGAATATAATGAAGATAGTTGTTCAAATAACAATTTTGATTTATTTAGGCCGTTTATTTCATAAGCAAACCAATTTTTAACATGATCGAATAGTGTAAAAAAAAAGGGTGACTATAGTTCAAGCCTACTAAGCCAACCTTCGGCTTCAGTAAGCCACCGGATTTCACCGGACCAAAAGCGATTTTTATATTCAAATTAACAAAAATAATTTAATAATACATAATTCTATTAATCACTATTAAAATTAAATAGAATTACTACAATGTTTTAAGCATATTAAATCAAGTAAATATTTCATATAGCTTGCTCGTTAAAATCCATGCAATTTCGTAAGCCAACAATCCAAGAACGACAAATAGCCCGACCGATAGATCGAATTGATCGATTAGTCCTATTATTCTAGTTATGTGGTTTGGAGCAAGGGGAGACATTACTGAAAATAATTAAAAGTTGAAGAAATTGAGGTTCTTTGCATATCCCTGCTTCAACCCATAAGAAGGTGTTGTATGCTGGTAAATAGGTCTCCCCTTGATATGTATGGCACTATCTTAAAAATCTGGTATGTAAGAGTTCCTAAGTGTATGGAATACAAGTATTCAACAAAAGGTTATCAGTTCTTTGTTCTACAAAAGACATTGTTCCCTGCTCGCGTACTGCGTATTTTTAAATGTGGAGTTTTTTTTAATGCGTGATTTTAACGTTAAATAATCTACTAATTGTTGACTAACATTACTAATTAATACATCGGTAAAATCGGATTTGCCTCTTGAAAGTTACTTTCGCTCGGGCGTATTGACTGAGCGATATTGAGGTTGCCGATCTTGCTTGCTAATGTATTAATTTAATTATTTAATATTAATTTAAAAAAGTTAATTAAGTAAAGCTAACAACTAACTCAGTAACATAGCAGACGAATCCTAATTAATAAAAATTAAAAGTTCTCGGCTTAGTAGCCTGTCTGTACTCTGTGAAAGTATAGTCTGTGGGATTTGATAAGTCTGGGTTTATCTGTGGCTGTTCCTTCCTAAGCCTAATTCATTATGTCATCCTCCGAAGATAAAGAGTTGCCATCATTGCCACCACAGGAGAAACAGCCAAGGCTTGGTTAGTAATTTTTTTAATCAAATATAGACAATAAGATTCTTATAGAGAGAATGAAATTAATTTTATATTTAATTTATTATACATCTAAATTTTATACAAATAATTTTCAAGTTGAAGTTTGGTAGTAGATCTCTTTAATTGTTTAATTTGATTATTAAACTAATAACAGCTGATCATAATTAATTAATTAATTATTCAATTAATGGAATTAGTAATAAATTATTTAAAAATTATATTTATGTTTAATTTAGAGTTGAAGTATTTAATAATAATTTTGTGATATGAATCTTTTTCTAAAATTTAGAGGAGAGTTCTTTGATTCTAGTGGCACAGAAAGTTATTAAAATTGTCAAAAAGAACAATACAGAGGACCTGAGAATGTCACTTGCTAAATTCCTCAGCAATCAGAAGCCACTCCATTTGCAGGTTAGAACAAATTTTTATTTAAATTCACTTTTTTATTTTATAATTAAATCAAGATTTGAATAATTTTATATAAAAAATGCTTAAGTTGAATATTTTCTTAATTGGATACACATTTAAAAAGTAATTAAATCATATATATATATATATATATATATATATAAAATAGTATTCATGCTTAATATTGAAAGATTAACATATGCCTTTCTGAAATGTGATAAAAAAATTTTGAAGAAAGGTTAGTAAATTTTATTATTAGGTCAGAAAATTAATGCCATGTATCGGATGCATGAATTCACATGCATTTACTTACAGCAATGTGTGTGTGCGCACGTGCTTTTTGTTACTTTCGTGAGTTAGTTGAAAGAGGATTTGTGATTTATACATTTGTGATAATATAATGTAATAATTTATACATTCAAACGTTCAAATTCTTAATCAGAATGATAAGTTAAAAGAAGCTAGGAGGGATATTCTACAGCAGAAATTAGCTCTTCTGCTACACACTTACTACTGCGAAGATCTGAAATGTGATATCTTCTGCTGCCAGAGTATCAAAAACCTCTGGTTACACATGACAACCTGCCCTCTTATTGATTGCTCAGGTTGGCAGAGATATTATTTTTAATTATAATTAGGATAACTCTTAAGAACTTTTAATTAATTAATTAATATATAAATAAATAATTACAATTGTCATTTTCAATAACTCACATTATGATTATATTTTCTATTTGTAGTACTGTAGTAATTATGGTCAGTATAAATAGTAATGTTTTGTGTTCTCTTTTCCTCTAAACAGTAGCTCTATGCAAATCCTCTTGGAAAGTTCTGACACATTGGTCGTTCTGCGTCGATTCTTCCTGCGATGTCTGTCCTACTTTCAAGAGGTTGTTTAACTTAGATCCAGAGTCTGGTTGGTTTCTACTTCTTTGGTTATTTAATTTTTGATAATTTTATTTGTTTGTCTATGTTTAATTCATTTAAATAATTTGTTTTGTTATTAAAAAAGCCTTCTCTATTAAAATTCAGTCATAATTTTTATTATAAAATTATATAATATCTAATATATATATTATATTATCATTTTATAATAAAAATAATATTTTGAAATTAAAAAAATTGAACACGCAGAAATGTCTGCCTCATCTTCCACTTCCGGTTTGGCAGTTTTCACTTCGCCAAGACGCTCCCAGAAAGCAGACAGCAGTAATGTCGTTAAGAATTGCTTGTGGAAGCCTAAATGCGAAAAAGGTGGTTGCTGATGTAATTTGTTTATTTGATGGTTGGTTGGTTGGTTGGTTGGTTAATTGACTGACTGGAGAGTTGCTTGATTCGTTTGTTGGTTGTGTGATTGGTTGGTTGTTTAGTTGTAAATCAGCTAGTTGGCTGATTCGTTTCATTATTTTTAGGTTTTTTGTAAGTATGATTGATTGATTGGTTGACTGCTTGGATAATTGAAACATAAAAAGTTGTTCTCTCTCTCTCTCTCTCTTTCTCTCTCTCTTTCTCACTTAGTTTTTCTCTTTTTTCTCTCTCTCTCTCTCTCACACACACACACACAACACCTACATGTCAACCAAGTGTGGACAGGGGCTGAATTAAAATCAGCATTCAATCCCCTATTGGATAAAATGTTTGCTTACGATAAGGAGGTTGAACCTTTTATGAGGCCAGTGGATCCTAAATTGGATCTATGCCCTGTTAGTTCTCTCTGTCAGTATTAATTAATTAATTAGTTAGTTAATTTTCGTATGTTGTACTATTTTATATTACTTGATATTATCTGTTTTATTTTTAATGTTCACTTATGAATTAGACTAATTATTTTCCTCTCCTTCATTGTTCTCAGGACTACTTCGACATAGTCAGGCGGCCAATGGATTTCGGTACCATAAAGTCAAAATTAGATCGCCTGGTCTATAAGGATCCGTGGGAAATTATAAATGAAATATATCTTGTCTTTGGCAATGCCTGGCTCTATAATAAAAAATGCTCTGTGTATCATAAATACGCTTGCAAGGTGTGTGTGTGTGTGTGTGTGTGTGTGTGTGTGTGTGTGTGTGTGTGTGTGTGTATGTATGTATGTATGTGTGTATATACACACTCCAATGTATGTGTGTATATACATATTTTTTAGTATTCTTATAACACCCTATCAAATTTATATTAACACTAAACAACAAATGAACAAACGAACAACATACAAATAAACAACAGCATATTAACAGCTAACATAATTCAACATTTTGTCAAACATACGAACAAACCAACAAACAAATATCTGAAAGTTAGCAGACGTCTTCGAAGCTCACGTGGATGCAGTTATGAGGGGCTTAGGGTTTTGCTGCGGTCAGAGGTACGAGTTTACACCCCTGCCTAAATACTGCGACAGTAGGTTATGGTGTAACATACCTGTATTGGCTGAGTACTATTCCTATAATGATCAGTTAGTAGTACTGATAGATTTTACATTATACTGTCTGAAATGTTAATTAATTAGTTAATTGATAGTGTGATTGCTGCTACTATTGCCTGTAATATTAACTAATTAATTAATTAGTTAATTGATAGTATTATTGCTGCTACTATTGCCTGCAATATTAATTAAGTAGTTAATTGATAGTATTATTGCTGCTACTACTACTACTATAATGATCACAAATTAATAATTAATTAATTAGTCAGTTAACGTTAATTTAATTTAGAGATGCACCGGATTCAGGTTTTTCAAATCCGGCCGGGGCCGGACTTGGCCGGATTTAAAATTCAAAAACCGGCCGGAGCCGGGGCCGGATTTGTTACCATTTTACATACGTTAGAAAAAATACTCACATTTACGGTTATCTACATGTTGAACATCAAAAAATAACACCAAGCAAATAGTTAATTAATTCAAATATATGAATAAGCTGTGTGATAGGCCAAATTCTGTACACAAAGATCAGCTTATAGTTTATGCATAACCCATGTTATAGCATAAAGAAAATTGTCCAGCTCATCTCATAATTAGTGATGTTGTTATTATGTGTCATGTATGCACGTGCACAAATTTTTTTACACAAAGATCAGCTTATAATGTATGCATAACACATGTTATAGCTCAAAGAAAATTGTCCAGCTCACCTCACAATTAGTGATGTTGTTATTATGTGTCATGTATGCCTAGCCTAACCTTTAACATACCATGTTCTTAAATTATGCGCTTATCTCTATGTATATATATATATATTATGTAGCTATATGATCCGTCATATACAATTATATAGTATAAACACGTGCACAAGTTCTTTTACACAAAGATCAGCTCATAATTTATGCATAACCCATGTTATAGCACAAAGAAAATTGTCCAGCTCATTTCACAATTAGTGATGTTATTATGTGTCATGTATGCTTAGCTTTTAACTTATTGACATAAAATTAATTGAATTCAATGAAATTTTTTTTTCTATTTATAACATTTTTAAACGCTTAAATCCGGCCATAAATCCGGCCGGGGCCGAACTTCGGTGCATCCCTAATTTAATTACACGAGATTGCTTCCTCTGTTGTGATAATGTTACTAACTGGTAATGTTTATTCTATTAGTTGATCTTTATAATTATCATAATTATAATATGTATAATAATAGTTATAGTTGTGATGAAATGTGTCTGTTGGTTTGAAGGTATGTTTTTTGGAGAGATGTTTCCAGGAGTCACCATCATCATTAACTGTCTCCATTTGTAAAGATCCTACAACAGAACCTTTGTAAGTTTGTTTGATTTGTTTGTATGTATGTATGTATGTATGTACGTATGTACGTTTGTTTGTGTGTTTGTATGTGCATGTGTTTGTATGTGCATGGGCTTGTTTGTTGGTTGGTTTCAGTGTATAGGTTTGTATGTTGGTGTATGAATGTTCTTGCAGGATTGTTTGATGGTATGTTTGTACATTTTGTATGCATGCAAGTAGGTGTGTATGTATGTATGCATGTATGTATGTATGTATGTATGTAAAGTTTATCTTTTTTGGTTATCCTTTAAATAAATAAATGTATGTATGTATGTATGTATACAACACACGTTTAGACGACATTTTCCCCGAGATCGGGGGTTGCCGTATGTATGTATGTATGTATGTGTATAAATGTGTATAAATGTGTCTGTGATTAGTGTACGTTTATTGTCTGAGTACCTGTACCTTTATTACTTTTTGTTCACTTTATTTTCTGCAGAATCGTCGATAAGAGGTCATTTGTTAAGAAGAGAAATCTTGAAAGAAAATTAGAAAAGTGAATTTTCTTTCTATGTTTTAATCATCCTGTCACCATTCAACGTCGTTATTAACATCATCATCATCATCATGTGGGTCATTATCTCTGCCATCTACATCATCATCATGTGGGTTATTATCTCTGCCATCTACACCCCTATATTCACCATAGATTTATCAAATGTACGAACTGTGGTCGCCTAAACCACGTGATCTGTGTCATGTACCTGGACGAGGTGACGTCGACACCGTTCGTTTGTCGCCTCTGTCAGAGTAGTACTTCTTCCTCCTCCTCTTCTTCTTCTTCTGTTGGGGTCAGCTATCGACCGACCATTTATCGAGCTTCTGGTTTGCGCTTGCTAATATTTTGAATATTTTATCTTTTAAAAAGAAAGAGAGAGAGAGAGAAAAAGAGAGAGAGAGAGAGAAAGAGAGAGAGAGAGAGAGAGAGATTGCTATAACCACATATAGCAATGTCTTGATGTTTATGGCAAAGCAGTATGATGAATGAATGATGAGAGATTGATAATTGTAGCTGGTGTAATTAATATATTAATGATTAAACAAATGGATAAGAGGAAGAGGAGAGAGAAAAAGAGAGAGAGAGAGAGAGAGAGAGAGAGTGATAGCCATTATGATGATGATAACAACTATATCTGTAAATGATGATGTTGTAGATGTATACCTCTACCGTTTTCAAACTCCCATCCCACAGACATTCCACACAACAATTTGAGCACATTCTTAGAGAATAGGGTGACAAATTTTTTCATCAGAAAGAAATTAGACTCTGGAAAAGTAAGCATTAGAGTCGTAGCTAGCTCCAAAGAAATTACTACTGTCAAACCTAGGTTAGTTGGATTATGTTTGTTATTTTGGATGTATATATATGTATATATATTATATGTCTATATTATACTTAGCATGTGAATATATAATGGTTGTGTAAGTGTATATGTGTATTGATTTTAGTACGTATGTGTGAGGTTTTCTTTCTTCGTTGTGCGTTATTATAGGTTCAAGAAGCATTTTCCTGAGATGTCAAATGAATATCCATACATATCCAAGGTTGATACTTTTCACAAAATTTCTAGTCTTGACTTGACTGATTGATAAATTGATTGGTTGGCTGGTTGGTTGTTTATTTGATTGATTGATTGATTATTTAGTTGATTGGTTGATAAACTTTACACCCACTTGAAGGCTGTATTTGCATTTCAAGAGTTCAACAACCAGGATGTATGCTTCTTCGGTATGCATGTGCAAGAGTATGGTTCAGATGTTCCAGCTCCAAATGCCAGGTGAGATGGTGATGTTGAGAGAGAGAGAGAGAGACAGAGTGAGAGAAAGAGAGAGAGAGAGATGAGAATAATAATGATCATGCTGAAGGAGAATAAAGATGATTTTAATGTTTTTTTTTCAGTTGAACATTTATTCATTTCTCCACTCGACCATTCAATTCCTTTTTTTCTCCTGACATCAGGCGTGTGTATCTTGCCTATCTGGATAGTGTGCAGTATTTTGAGCCGGCGGGCTATCGAACGTCGTTGTACCACGAGATACTGATTGCCTACATGCAGTATATAAAAAATATGGGGTTGGTATGGCATGATTGGTCGGTTGGTTGGCTGATTGATTGGTTGGTTATGTTTGTTTATTGATTGATTAGTCGTTTTGATTGGTTAGTTGGAGGCTTGAATGGTTGATTGATTGGTCATGCTGGTTGGTTTATTGATTGGTTGGTTGGTTGAATGGTTGATTGATTGTTTTCTTTTGTTTCTTCAGTTTTGTATCCCTACATATCTGGTCGTGCCCTCCATGTGAGGGCGATGATTACATCTTCAACTGCCACCCAGTCAAGCAAAAGATCCCAAAAGCAAAAAGATTGCAAGAATGGTACAGGAGACTTCTTGAGAAGGCCACCAATGAGAATATTGTTTCAAATTTTACCGTTAGTTCATTGGCTGATTTGATTCTTTTCAAATATCTCTGTCTGCTTATTGGTTAGGTTGTTTTTAAATATCGACCAGTGAGATGTTTTGATAGGTTGCTGAGATTTGGTTTGCTTGTTTATAAAAATAGCTTCTTGATACGTGAAGTTTTTATTCATTTCTTTATTTTATTAATCAATTAATTAATTTAATATTATATTGTTTTTATCATGCAAATAAATTCAGGATATCTTATCGTATGCCGTTAGTAATGACTTGAAGAATGCAGCTGACATGCCGTATTTTGATGGGGACTTCTGGCCATCATCTCTCGAAGATAATATCAAGGAAATTGAGAAGAGTGAAAACACTAATGAAAAGAACTGCGCGGGAAAGGTTGGCTGATTAGTTGGTTGACTGATTGGTTGGTTGGTCTTTGATGATTTTATTGTTTAGTTGATGATTGACTGTAAATGTCATTTATGGGATGTTTACTTTTATGAAATCTTTTATTATCTTAATAGAATTAATCAGTTACTTTTCGGTGCTGAAGCAAATTTTCTAGCGATGAATTGAAATAAACACTCAGCCTCCCAAAGCCTCACAAGACTCGAAGACAAGAACGAATCAAAAAACTCAAAATAAGGGGAAGAAAGTGCTGCCCTCAACTCATGGAGATGTCCTCGTCGATAAAATTTACTCAACTCTTGGAAAATATCGAGAGGTTTCAGTTCTTTGTGTGTTTTTGTGTAACTTTCTAAGTTGAATTTCATGTGACGCTTTCGTTACGATTGTTTCTCACTGACTTAGTTTGCATTCATTTTTACCCCTCCAGATGTTCTTCGTAGTCGAATTCTTCACCCCAGAAGAAGCCATGACCCTTCTGCCCATCTGTGACCTTGACCCCTTGATGCCGAATGACCTCATGCACGAAAGATCCAGTTTTTTGGTTATGTTCAGAGAGAGGCTGGCCGAGTTCTCATCGCTGCGAAGGGCCAAACATTCAACGTGCATAATGCTGCACGAGATCATTAACAACAACATCAACTCCAGTACTAATAGTACTAATGCTCTAGCTGGCTCCGACGCCAGAGGCAGCATCAGCACCGTTAGTAGTGGAGTACAAGGCGGTAGTGGTAGTAATGTTGTCGGAGTTGGTGGTGGCGATGTGGCTGCCGCTCGACGGTTTGTTTGTTCTGGTTGTGGCAGCAAGGAAGGTGACTTCTATGGTTGCTCAGAGTGTGAGGTATGCCATTTTTACATATTTGCTGTTCATTTTGTATGTTGCTTGACTTTGAATATTTACCAAAAAGTAATGTAAAAATGCCTGTTACATTAACATTACTGTTGCCAATAACGGCCTTCTGTTTCAATTGTGAAAAAATATCCATTTAACTTTCCGACTTCCTAATTACTTACAGACATGGAAGAGCTGTCCTGCTTGCCTGGCGAGCCTCCAACACATCCATCCAACTCACCTCATCTCCACTACGACCGCCCTCAAGAAGAGGAAAATAATTGGCGCCAGTGGTGTGGATGCCCTAGAACATGCCTCATTCTGTCCAGGAGGTCCGGAAGGGATGTGCTACAAAGAAGGTAATGAGGAGGATGTCGCCAGATGTCAGAAATTTAAATCTGCCTTCACTCATGCACCTAGCTGTGAGAACAGGCTCGACTGTCCATCTTGCAGGACGCTAGTTCGTTTGGCGCTGCTACACGCTAGGAAATGTACTTTTGCCACTCCTTGCGGTTCTAATTCTAGCAGTGTCGGTACTGCTACTGATGGTAATTCTACAAAAGCTACTGCTGGTAATAACAACAATAGTACCACTTCAACAATCACTACAATCACTACTGCTACTGAAGCGAGTGTTACTTCTGCTACTAACAAAATTGCGAACACAGAGCAAGTTCAACCCCCTCAACAACAGCATATTACAGAGTGTCCAGTTATATTCTGCACGGTGGCCAGATCAAAGTTGCAGCAGCTGCTGTCGAAGCAGAGAAAGATGGGCGAGAGAATGTTGAAGAGGAGAACGGCAGCCATGATGGTGAACGAGGAAAACGATGGTTCTGCCAGTGGTGGTAGTGGTGGTGGCGCTTCATCGTCGTCGTCGGCTGCCAGTGAGAGAGTTGATTCCAGGCAGGACTTTCAAAGAATGGGATCTATGTAGTGTGGTTGATGTTGTTCGTTGAGTCTGAGTGTTTATCCGAGTCCATTGTGTTTATCTGCTTGTTTGATTGTTTGCCTGTATGTGTGTGTGTGTGCGTTCGTGCGTGTGTGTGGGTGTGTATGTCAATCAACGCTAGCGTTTTCAGTAGAATCATGATTGAGGATGAATGAATGAGTGAATAAATGAATAATATTCTCTTTTAAATCAAACAGATTGTTTCGTGAATAAAATGTCAATTAAACAGATCAATATAGTAAAAGGAATGATTAAGAGTTGAAGGATGTAATGAGGGATTGAACGAATGTATGAATATTCATGTTCTCAAACTTTTTCAGAAGTCATTTTTACTATTTACTGTTAGGTTAACAAATGTGTGCTTTTATATTATGTAATGACCCTGGTTGTTATAATAATTTTCGTTTTTTTTTACGATCGTCGTTATTTGTGATGTATAATTGATTTTATCTTATCATTTCTTTCTTATAAACACAAAGAAGAGATAGAATTAAATTGAGATAGAATTAAAATCACTTGAGGAAGATGTTCAATTTTATTTCTTATTTCCAACTTGCTGGCGTTTACTAGTGCTCTGCTCCATTTAACTTAGGTAATATTTCACATCACATTCATATATTTGTATTGCTAACTATTTATATGTATGTGTATATATATAACGATCAAAATATTAATTAATGTATCTTGGTATGCGCGTATATTTGTTTGTCTCTGTATTTATGTATGTATGTGTATGTAATGGTTTTAGTTTTGATCATTTTTTTCCACAGCAGTAACGTTTAACGTATTAAGAAATTATCTTTAATGTGAACAGTTTTTCTCTGAAATGAGACTTTGATGACTATGATTCAGTCTTATAAATTATAATATTATTACATTTATAAGTATATGTGTTTAGGAGGGGTTTGAACAATACAATACTTGAATATGATATACTGAGTATGTGTGTGTATATATATATTTCAGAAATTTATACGAAAGCGCTATATAAATGCTCACAACAGACAGACATGCGCTTACTCGGTTTACACTTAGAGTTAAGGCTATTGAAATATGATAGATGTGTAATATTTGTTAAAAGTATTTTAAATTTAGCATCTATTTGTGCGTTCTAGGGCGTGTTAATGTTGAAATTTCAACTTTGCACTTCACATACGGTGTTAAAAAAGTTATAAAATATTTGTTCTTCCCTTTTTAAGTTTTATAATCTTTGTTCGTTGTTTTCTTGTGTGTTTTCGCTTGGTTCATATATGAATTTTCTCGGCGAGAGATCTCGGTCCGACAATTTAGAGACAGAAAATTCATTCACCAGTAGCGAGTCGTGCATTCTGAGGAACGGCTTTCCGGTCGGAAGAAAGTTAGTACATTTTCGTATAATTTCCGTTTGCTTCAACGATCGTGAGCGATATTTGACGTACTGATAATTTTGTCATGTGTTGGTTGGCTGTGTGTTGTATAGAAAGATCATCCTGTCCTTATTTGTTTACCTTCATTTTCGATTGTTGAAGTTTTGTGATTTGCTTTCTGAGCGACTTTTCTCGAGTTTTAAATGATAATTCATCGGCTGCTGTTCATATTTTCGAAATTATTCTTTTTTGATATCAGTAATGAGTGATGTAAAGATTCTGCATAATGCGTGTCAATAACAATGATTTCTCATCGTTTTTATTTTTATATTTATTTTATAACATTGCAAATTTAAATTTTAACAAATTGACAAGCATTTCACTGTTTAATTTAAACTTTAAAAGAGTGCATGTGATTTTTAATTTTGCCATAATTCTTGTGATCAGCTTTCTTTGTGTTTGTCTACATCTACACAATCTACAGATCAGATGATCAGCAAATTACTGTTGAACTTTTCTTATAAATTCAGAATCAACATCAGCAAGCAGATTAGGAAATTTTCCACTTATACATTGGAGAGCAGAATGCCAAACATAAAAATCTTCTGTGGAACCTCCCATGGGGAATTGGCTCACAAGATCTGCGACAGATTGGGCATTGAATTAGGCAAAGTTACATCAAAAAAATTCAGCAATCAAGAAACATGGTTAGTTTTTCTGCTAATTTCTTAACTTAATCATTCAAAATTTATCATTTATTTATATTCTGTCCAAAATTAATTAACATTCATTTATGCTTTGAAATTCATAAATTACTAGTGTTGAAATTGGGGAATCGGTTAGAGGGGAAGATGTGTTCATCGTGCAAAGTGGTTGTGGGGAAATCAACGACATGATCATGGAACTACTCATCATGATCAATGCCTGCAAGATTGCGTCTGCTTCACGAGTCACTGCAGTCATCCCATGCTTTCCTTATGCTAGGCAGGATAAGAAGGATAAGGTTATTTTTAAAAAATTATCAATGTATTCATTTGTGTGTTGTAGAATGCTCTAGAATTTTAAATCAGTGCTAATTTCAATTACTTTTTTGTTGGATGCATGTTTTGTGGTTTTTATACTAAGTGTGCACACTTGTAAATTATTTCATTTTTTAATATTTAGTCTATTTATATTCATTAATTTTGTATTTTTATTTCTATACAGAGTCGTGCACCAATTTCAGCAAAGCTGATAGCTAACATGTTGTCGACAGCCGGTGCAGACCACATCATCACGATGGATTTGCATGCCTCGCAAATACAGGTAGGTGAAAATTAGTGAAATTAGGCAAATCATCTAATTTATCGTGCCTAAAAATAATTATTTTTTTAAAATGTTGTTACTAAGTAATTTTTTTAAATCAGGGTTTCTTTGACATACCCGTGGACAACTTGTACGCTGAACCGGCAGTCCTGAAGTGGATTAGGGAAAATATTCCCGAGTGGAGAAACAGCATCATCGTGTCCCCGGATGCTGGTGGAGCTAAAAGGTCAGTCACTTTTGATGGATTGTTTGATGGATGGATTGACCTGTAACTAGCCTAATCAAATTAATTATTGTGGTTGATAAATTGATGGTCAATCATTTTATTGATTTTTTTGTTTCAGAGTCACCTCAATTGCTGACAAGTTGAATGTTGACTTTGCACTCATCCACAAAGAACGAAAGAAGGCTAATGAGGTTGCATCCATGGTTCTCGTTGGAGATGCCAAGAATAAGGTATAAATAATTCTTTTTAACAGTCAATTTTTTATTTCAGATCCTATGTAAATCTATTCTCTCTCTCTCTCTCTCTCTCTACCTCCTTATCTCTATTTGTAAAAATTTATTCTTTAAAATGAGGTTTTTCTTCGCCAGGTTGCCATATTAGTTGATGACATGGCAGACACCTGTGGTACCATTTGCAAGGCAGCCGAAAAGTAAGTCGGATAGATCTTGTGATTGCTGCTTGAAGTTTTTTAATTTCCGCTTTCAATTGTACAGTCAACCAAATGATTGGTGGTTTGCAAGTCAAACATTTTCTCTCTATGCTTGTTCTTTAACTTCATTAAACAAAAACAACAAAATCAAATTTACATTCTTCCATTCTTTATGAATTAATAAAATCATTTGGTTTTTTACTTCACTCCATTTCATATTTTTCTTCCCACCGTTATTCCTCTAATCATTTTTTCTCACTATCTCCAGATTATTTGAAGCTGGTGCCTTGAAAGTGTATGCCATCTGTACGCACGGAATTTTATCAGGTCAAGCTCTGACTCACATTAACAACTCTCATTTTGAGTGTGTGGTTGTCACCAACACCATACCGCAAGAAACAAATCAGAACAATTGCAGCAAATTGCAGGTAATATAAAAGATGCGCTTGTACGTGCAAATGTGTGTACATGCGTGTGTATTTCTTTCATGTGTATGTGTGCAGGTATATGGATATTTTTACATTTCTATCTCCATTTAATGTAATGTATGTGATTTTGTGTGTGTGTAATGTATGTTTTTGTATGTTCATAAAGAGGCAATACTAATAATTAATTATAGGAATTATTATTATAATTATTATGTTTATAATTTTCATTCCCAAAATTATCTACCAGGTGATAGACATTTCAATGATCTTAGCCGAGGCCATTAGGCGCACCCACAACGGTGAATCAATCTCATACCTGTTTGGACATGTACCTCTCTAGTTTCTCGTCAAACGATTATTATTATCATCGTAATATTATTATTATCATCATAATATTATTATTATCGTAATGTTATTATTAATAATTGTTATCTTTGATTTCAGTACTAATGTTACTAAAATTGCTATAGGCTATGTCTTATCTTTTATGTCAACTCATTTTATTATGTCCTTATATTTTATATTGATATAATTATAATAATAAAAATTATTATTATTAAATTATTATTATTATTACCACTTTAAATATTTTCAGTATTATTATTACTATTACTAATGTTACTAATGACTATTAAAGTTATTTTTGGTTATATTTCTATATTTTTTTATTGCTGTTGATACGTTGTATAACTTTGCTGTGTTTGCTTTTCCAGGTTTCGTTTGTGTCAGGTATATTTTTATTTACTAAAAGCAGACGCGCGTACACATATATAAATATATATAGATAGGTGTGTATGTGTGTATATAATTTATGTACGTATGGCATGTTTGTGTAAATATATTAATAGATTGGTATAATACTCGCGTTGATGTTTCAACCCTCGGTTTTGAAGTGAAAGTATTTTTGGGTACACACCGTGGTACTATTGCATACATATATATTTATGTATAGTTATGTGTATGTAACAATAAATATAAGAAGTTATAAAATGTTTTTTAACAGCTTCAAGATTAAATGATCAATTGACGTTATTTTTTTACCATATTCTGATGGAATAAAATTATCGATGTCAGAACGATACGATAGTTAAGATTATATTGATGAGTTAATAAATTAAGATTTTATTTCTCGTTTTGAAGCATTAAATAAGATAGCGCGTTTTTGAAAGTTTATCTGTACTTTGTTTTATTTAAGCGGCTTTGATGATGTTTTCAGTGTCTTTGATCGAAATTTCGTCTTCTGAGGTTTCTTCGATCGTCATTTCATTTCCCGTTGTAGTTGTGGTACTTCCACGACTTTTCCAGTTAGTGCAGTTGCTTCTATTTCAATTTTTGCCTGAAGTGGAAGGTTTGATACCTCGTAAGCACATCTGGCCGGTAGGCGATCCGGAATGAAGTCTGCATGGTGAGAAGGTGTTCATGTGGGAATTTAAAAATGATATTAGGCTAGAGTTCTAGGATTAAAAACATTTTGGGGGTAGGAACCGTGATTGAGTGTAATTTTAATGATCGTGTTACTAAATAATGACGAAGTTGTAATAATTTCTAACATAAATGATAGAACTAATTAATTGTAACGATGGTTTGGTAATTTTGGCACTAGTATTGCGGTAACTGGTGATATGATATGAGATCTATTTCGTACATAGTACGAAATAGATAATGAACGAGAAAAAGAAGTAACATTTTGCATAGATGTTGTTAACTGTCGGCCAGTCCTTTATATCCTTCAGTAAGATGGTAACCTTCACAACTGTCGATGGTTTAATATATATATCATTATTAACGCTATAAATACATACACACATCCATTTATATATAAATATATATAGATAATATTATTACTAACCGTTTCCATAATCAGTTCCAGCTGCTAAGACATGCCCATACATACACACATCAATTTATATATAAATCAGTTCCAGCTGCTAAGACATGCCCATACATACACACATCAATTTATATATAAATATATATGTAGTGAAAATTATTATTATTATAGCATATATATAGTATAAATTAGAATATTGTAAAATATAAATATGTATAGATAACACTATTGCTAACCGTTTCCATAATCAGTTCCAGCTGCTGTTAAGACGTGCCCAAGGTTTATCAAGGCCTGAAAAAAGGAATAAGAAACAATCTACTCTGGTCCTCTCAATTATTCGGCAAATACTCCAGTAAAAAGTTACGTGAAACCACAATTAGTCATAAAATTCTACTTTATTAATCAGTTGAAACCACAAACATTCAGTAAAAACCATGCCAGCAATTATTGAAACCAAAAATATTTATCAAATTCTGCCTTAGTAAACCTCTCAAACCACAGATACTCGTCGAACGATATCTTAGAAAATACTCAAAACTACAATAACACACCAACTACTGCGCTAGCTAGCAACTACATACAGAATAAAAAACTGATAAATCATAAAATGTAATAATCAACTTGGTTTGTCTCGCCTTCGATTCCTCCATCAGCTAACTTCTCCGACTTTGGATCTAAACCGACCAATCCGGATACATACACGGTCTGATTGGCTACTACAGCCTGGCTTTTGAGACGAAAATTTATTATTATTCCTGTTATTATTGATAATAGTTTAAAAATAATATTTATGATAATTTGCAAACATATTATACAATAATATCGAAAAAAATACAAAATCGTCGCACAGTACAAAACACCGATTTAATACAGTACAATACGAAGAACATACAACAGAGTACGGACCTGTAGGGTGCCCTGGGCTTCGGTATGTCAGGGGAAAAAATACGACTAATACAACTATTAGAAGATGCCATTTTATTTGTGTATTATGTATTATTGTGTATAAATATACAATACGCAAATATTGAGAAAATATTTTTTCAAAACAAAAGCAAGAGGCCAATTTGGATTTCAATTTTTTCCCCACTATATATAAAAATGCTATCGAATATTTGATGGCTATGTATGTATGTATTTACGTGCGTACGTACGCTAAGCATACAATTGTATTGGTGTCACATACGAACGAATGTATGTATGCATATATGTAACGATCATCCTTACAATACAGCCTTCGAACTTTAGAATTAAGTCCATGTGTCAATAATGTATGTATATATATATATATATATACATACATAAAACCTCGTTCCTAAATATATATATATATATGCCAGTACTTGCAAGCATCTCATACAAACACACACACACAGGCAAACACATACACATACACACTTTTTGAAACTTTGATCTAATATTTTGCTGAAACCGATAACAAGGTTATCCAAACAAATGAAACATGTTTTCTGCAACTATTAAACCTTATAATTATCAACAAGTGCATTACACAAATAATATAACATTACTATAAGTATATTTGTATATAATTAAATGATATAGTTTTTGCAAATTTGTTAACAAGGCAATTAGATTTATTAAATTCATTGGTTTTTTAAATACAGAAAACCTATGCATACATTTAACTGTGTGAATCAACCAACCAACCAACCAACCAACCAACCAACCAACCAACCAACCAACCAACCAACCAACCAACCAACCAACCAACCAACCAATCAATCATTCATTCTTTTCATCCATTCATTCATCTATCCACAACTTACTGAATCACTCATAATCATTAATCTTCACGGAATTCTTTTTGATTAATGGAATTCTACTGACGATCCCATTCCTCTCGTAAACGTACAACGTATCCGGATCTTCTATCCAGGAATTCCTGGCCCCATCCTCAAATATTAACCTGAATTAAAGAATATGTACACACACACACAAACCCGTTCCCCTTTCATACAGAAATTATTTTATATTGCAAAATACGTTCGCTACCAACAACTACTAGGTCCTTGTGCTCGCTTACAATTCTTCTAATGGCTTCATCAACTGGCTGGACATTTAAGCGGATATCAATCAATCAATCAATGAATCGATCAATCAATCAATGAATTGATCAATCAATCAATGAATTGATCAATCAATCAATCAATGAATTTATCAATCAATCAATAAATCCTTTATAGTTAACAACCGGCCAGTTCATTAGTGATATAAGGAAAATAGAAATATAGAACATTCGACTGTCAAGCCACGAATTTAAATAAATTAAATATCACAATTAATAAGGAAAACTAATAATTATAATTATAATTAATAATTATAGCCATAATTAATTATATAATAATAACTAGTCACACGGACCCAGCCCTGGAACTCAGGCCAAGCAGTTTTCTGGAAATCATTGACGGACAGCTGGCCACAGCTTGGACATCATCAAACAGTAATAAAATACATTACAATAATAATATTTATTTATTTATTAATAATAATAATAAATATTAATTATAATTAATATTTATTATTATTATTATTAATTATTAATAATTTAATAATTATTAAAAAAATAATTATAATTAATTAATTAATAATTTAATAATTATTAAAAAAATAATTATAATTTAGATACAACGAAAAGATAATGATTTTTCAAGAAACGATTTTTAAACTATATATAGCATATACAAACCACACACCTACACACATATTTATCAATACCATGTGATATATATATATTATTATTATGTGATACATTACGATACATCAAAATACAAATATCGAAAGAGGTATCTTATGAAACAATAGCTTCATTTTTAACATAATATATACATATAAACACACACACACACATAAATAAATATTTATGAAGTAAAAACCTTACCAAACGCTGAAAATATAGGAGCAAACTGAAAATGCAATGTAAATAAGAAACTTATGCATTGGACCTACCTACTCCACTTCCAACCTTAAATAATAAAAAAATCTTACAGAAGAATTCACAGAATATCAACAGTCACGAATTTATTTATATTTTAATCGATTAATTTGCGAATAATTAAGAGGATTAGTTATTAATTTCATGAAAAGATGATCATAATTTCTGGACGTCAAGACATTCACATTGGAAGCAATAACATCAATAGGCACACATCATTCACATATACACCATTACTTAAAACCTAAGCGTATTATAATAGCTAGATACAGTACACACACACACACATATACATATGTATATATATATATCTGTGTATATCTAAATAAATATATCTGTGTGTATCTACATACATATACAATTACATACAAAGTTATGACCGTAAATTTAAATAGAAAACAAAACAATTTACCAAACCATTTTCTTTTTTTTACAGGTGATTAAATGCATTTACAATGATTGATAACATACATGTATAAGTTTCTTACATTTACATTTATTGATAAACGCGCTTGCAAATTGAAAACTGCAAAAATAAAATAATTAGTTAACTGAAATTTTTTTTCAAATAGGATGAAATTATGAACATAAGGGTGAAAATAATTAGTTATAATTAATTACAGTCATAATAATTACAATATTATTTATTTGATTGTTGGTAGGCTTTAGCCCATTTTTCAACGGTGCTATATAGATTTTCTAAATATCTGTGATCAAATGGTACGAGCAGGATCTCCTTCATGATATCTTTCGTCCTGGATTGAAAAAAAAATTTTTGTGCAGATTCACTGCTACGTTATTGTAATCCTTAAATATTGTTATGATCATGACGCACAAACACAAACGCACACACACGTACACACACACACACACATATATATATACATACATACATACACACACACACACACACACACACACACACACACACATATATATAGCTTTTATAACAAGATAAACCAATTACACTAAAAACACACAACAGAATTTTTTTCCTAATTTAAAAATTATAAATCTATCTGGGACCAAACAATAAAAAAACAAAACTAAACTAAATAACCGTAGCAGTGCATGAAAAAATTATTAAACAAAATTTCTTTGGCATACCTTAAAAATAAAGGCACAACCCTTAAACATAAAAAAAACTTTACCTAAATGAGGCAGCCTTTATGTCTATGGTCCATTTAGGTGCCACTGATGACGTTGGTGAGGTTGGTTGCAATGGGAAGGACGATAAACTACTAGAAAGTGGAAGCCTTAGATCATCTGTGTAGATCGTGAACTTGTAGGCCGGTGTAGAATATGACATAAACGACAGGGAAAATCTTTTTTTTTAAATATTATTTCAATTATTATATATTATATTATTATTTTAACAATTATTATTATTGAGGAGTGGAAATTATCCAATACATGTAGGCTAACATGGAAATTGAACTAGAGCACGTAAAGTTAATTAAAAATTAATTATATATATATAAAAAAATATAAATATATATATATATATATATATACATATATACTATAATGTGAGCCTATAAGGCCTATAGTTATACCAACCAATAACTAAATTATCATAAATATTATTATTAATCTTTAGAGTATTAGTATTACTAATATTATTAATCATTATATTATAAAAATATTATTATAAATATTATTAATCCATAAAGTAGTATAATTTAAAAAAAGTTATTAACATATTTCCATGATACCATAGACAGAGCAATGATAATAATATGACAAACCTTGTTCCATCGAAATCAACAATTCTCTTGACGCCGTATTTATCCAAAGACCTCAGGAAGTCGTAGTGGCCCTCTGTCTCCATCACCAGCATCGACATTTCGTCAACTGTCTGTAAGTTGAACAACAACAACAACAACAACAACAACTACTACTACAATAATAATAATAACGATAACAATGGCAAAATAGCTCATTCAATGGAATTACCTTAAAGAGCTCTGAGAGAGATTGACACTTCTTGGCCGCGCCCTCAAATGCAGCCAACTTATCAGCTAGCAGATGCTCCATCAGTAAATTCTTCACATTTTCCAATTTTATCTCATCATCTTCAAAATCTTCATCGTCGTCTTCACCTAAAAAATCTTGCTTATCTAAAGTGATAAGAGCAATAGCAATAATTAACATAGTAATAATAATAATAAATATATTGAACATGATAAAATAAAAAGAAACCCACCCATGTATTTAAAGGTCTGCTTATATGATAGGCCGACAAGAGCCTCGACACATTTGAAACTCTGCTGTGATTGGCTGAATTTGAAATGACAGAAAGCCGACTGACCAATCAGAATGTACAACGCATTGACGTCACATGTAGGTATGGAGAAACCGACGTATCTAAACGCAAGAATAAAAAATTATACCAATATTAATGATGATATCAGTCGTAAAAATAATCATTCAAATTATAAATATTAATAAGTGATAATGAACAACATCATAAACAAAAAACACAAGCAGACAGAGAAAGACAAACAAAGAGAGAGAGAGAGAGAGAGACAAATAGAGAGAGAATGAGAGACAAACAGACTTCTGTAGGACCCCAGCATATGATTCAGTTTCCTTTAGCAGACTACTTCTACTATCCCTCAATCTCTTATTAGAACTGGCAGACAGCGTGTCCGGTGACGATAACGATAACATATTTGATGGTGACGATGACGACGACGATAAAGATGACGTAGATAATGATGATGAACCTTTTCTGCTTGACCTTTTAGTCTGAAGAAAAATTTTTTTCTTTGGTGATTTAATCTCGTTAGCTTTATCAATAATCTTTAGAAACCTAACAAATCTTATTTACAATCATATAACAAAAGCATCATTGTCGGAGTTACTTATCATTATCATCACCACCATCATCGTCGTCTTCTTCATCATCATCACTACCTTTTTGGCAGGTATATTATCCAGCTCTTCAACGACAACATCACTGAAATCTTCAAAAGATTTGAGGCACCTGTCTCGAATGACCTTGAACTCCATGGCTGTTTTATTCAATCCGTCAATCATCAATCAATCAATCAATCAACCAATCAATCAACCAACCAATCAATCAAACAATCCATCAACTAACCAACCAGTCAATCAATCAATCCATCAACCAACCCACCAATGAATGAATCAATGAATGAATCAACCAATCAATCAAATAATATTCGTTTATTGTTTACTCAGTTATAACCGCATAAGCACACACACACACGCACGCACGCACACAAACCTTTCCAAACACCGCTATCGGGATCGTCATCAGCATCCCCAAGTTTATCATTTATCAGGTCATTCAGAGTGCTCCATACATCAATATCTGTTGAATCAATAAATAAACGTCGTGAGAAAGAGAGAGAGAGAGAGAGAGAGAGAGAGAGAGAGAGAGAGAGAGAGAGAGAGAGAATACATACCATAACAAAAATCAATCTAAACTTACAGAATCGAAATCTGTTGACTTGATAGGACCAGTCCACCACATTTTTAACCATTTTCTCACCATTAAACTGTACAAATAGGTAGAAAATACAATACAATACAATACAGTACAATACAATGCAATACAATACAATATTTTTATGTTTCCTCCTCAATATGATACAGCATAATGAAGACAGGATTGTTGTGAAAGAGTTCATTAAGGAACTCACCTAGCACAATTACCTGGAACATAAATTGCCAATGTGTGTATGCATGTGTGTATGTATGTATGAATATATGTATGTATGCGTGTATGTATGTATGTATGTATATATGTATGTTTGAATGAGCAGCTAAAGAGTGATTGTATGTCTGAATGAGGCAATAAATTTGTTTTAACCTTCAAGTTATTTCTACAAATATGAACAACAGAAATAGTGTCTACAAAAATTGTATTAGCAACAACAACAACAACGACGACAACAACAACAACGACAATAACAATTAATAACAATTAATAACAATAACCAAAACTTTGCTTTTTTCAAAAACTTCTTCCAACTCTTTAGTGTCAACCAACAATTTTTCCTCCTCATCATCATCGACACCATCATTTCTACTACTACTACTACTACCACCACCACCACCACCACCGTCGTCATCATTATTATTATCATTCAATAAAAATTCTAGCCCCAATTCTTTGACGATACATTCAATGGTCTCTGACGTTGAGAATGACGTCATATTTGTAGTTGCTGCTGCTGTTGTGGTATGTTGATTAAGCGTCCTATCAATTTCAGCCTTTTTTCTCTTAAGGGTTTCAACAATGTTTAAAAAATCGACCTCCGAATTGAACGGCTTGTAATCAGTTTCTAAGAGTTTTTGTAGAGCTAGTGACGGTTGATGTTTGTTGGAGATTACGCAATACGGCCCTAAAAATGTCGTGGTTTCACTTTCACTTTCATTTTCGTCATTAGAAGGGTTTACGTTTTTGTATCTACTACGACAAGCCCTGAGTGAATGTGCGTGAAAATTGAGTGACAAACTTCCATCGCTTCTGTACCTCCACTTTGATTGGTCGTTGATATTTTTGAGGATAAATACAGATTCCACTTCATCATCTATGTTATCGTCATTTTTAAACAACGACAGCACCTTCTCCATAGTAACAACGTCACCATCACCCATTTCATCATCATCGTCGTCGTCGTCATCAGCCATCATCAGATTCAATTCCTCGTCAATATTATTACGACATCTCTGAAGAAGTACATTGAAGTAATCGACTTGATCAAAATCACTGCAAGTATTTCTATTGTTCATGGTAATATTACTACTACTACTACGTGACGTGATAACGACAGCAGCAGCAGCAGCGCCAGAAGCCGCAGCAGTAGAATTAAAGCTATTAAATGTAGTAGTATTACAGTCGTTTGAGTTATTGATGCTATTAGCATTAGTACAGTAGTTTGGACCAACGGATGTAGTAGAGACATTTTTGTGGAAAATAGCAGCGTCATCATCATCATCATAATTATTATTGTTATTATTATTATTAACAATGACGTCATCATCGTCGTCGTCATTCCTGGCATCTTCCTCGTCGACGTCACGCATCATGGTCGGCTCTCTGACATTTTTCAAATCCAACGTCGAACTTTCGCTGATGTCCATGCAGGAAGAGGAATAGTCCATTCCCTTCGTGTCATTCTCAGGAGCATCAGACATCATCATTGTCCGATGGATGGGTGGGTCCATCTCTGTCCTCGAGGGGTGTTCAGCGTATGATGATGGCGATGATGTTATTGTTGACGTTGATGATGATAGAACGTTGATGTTCTGTTGGTCACATTCATGTTGTGGTGAGCTAGGGTATAAAAATCTGAGGAAAACAATAATAATAATCATTAGCTATAAAGTAGGTAAATTCAGTAATGTATTTATGTATGTATGTATGCATGTATCCATATATGTATGTATGTTTGTATGTATATGTATGTATGTATGTATGTATGTACGTATGTATGTATGTATGTGTCTTTCTGTATGTATGAGTATCAAAACTGACATTAAATAAATAAATTTATCACCAACGATAACTTTAACTAAAGATAGTATAAAAAAACTGGTAATAATAATAACAATAATAACAACAATAACAATAATAATAATATAACTAGAAATTATGATGAAATACTTTTGGGTCATATTAATCATATTATTGATGAGAGTTTCGTTGAAGCCAGGCACCATCGAGCCTGCCCCCAAATGAGATTGGTTGGTAAACGTTGAATCTGAAACTGCATAATTAATTATTACTTTATTACTACCATAATTACCTTTCATAATTATTATATTATATATATTCATTTATTATTATATAATTAATCACATTATTCTAATTATAATTATCAGTTTTGTTACAATTGTTAGCATACAATCATCAAACAGATCAAATCATCTCATCATCATCATCATCCTCATTGATCATCAAGCTATTATAATTATAAATAATAATAATATAATTATTATATTATCATTTACACTCACCCAATTACGTTACAACACCAGTACCACCACTGAAATAAAAGAACACAACTAACTGTCTTGGAAACACCTCTCATCATCACCAAAGATAGTATAGTTTCCGTCGACAATATCCAACGATGGAGTCACTACTGTAGTCGCAAATGACGTTATTGTTGTTGTCGGTGGTAGTGTAATTGTTGTTGCTGAGTTCGGACCTCTTAACTCTGTGGTACTGGCGTTCCTCATATCATCTGAAGTCACAAAAACTATCATTATATTGTACATTATAATGATTTTAGTATAAATATATTAATTAATTAATTAACATTGTATAAACTTATGGAATGAATATAATTAACCACAATTTCAACATTGTAAAATTAAAAGTAGCATAAATTATCTTTAAAAAGAAATCGTTTTACATAACCAATGACTTCATCATAACTATACTAATAATAACAACAACAATAATAAATAACAATCATCATCATAACTCACAAGAATCGTGTGACTCGCTCGAAGAATCCACATTTAGATACCGCTGAAATTCTCTGGGGAAAAAACCAAAAACAGTAAAAATAATTGTTATATTGTAACCGTAGTTGAAAATTTATGTAGCTAGTAACAGCACTGTACTAGTAAACTAATGCTAGTAGTTATAATTCTTGTATTCTAGTAGTTATATATATATATATATATACACACAAATACAATATGTACCAATCATCATTATATTACATTAAACTAATTATTAACACGAAGATTGAAAATACTATTACTACTATTATTACTAATACTTATATATATAAATATAATATATATATTAAATATATATGTTATAAATTTATTATATATATTATATATACATTATATATTTACGAAATATATATATATATATATAGCTAAGTTATAATTTTTCAATTACTACTACTGGTACTCTTACCAAAATGCTACTAATACTGATACAGCCTAATACTCATACTAACAATAATATAACAACCATCAGTTAAAAACTTTTAAAATTACTGGCAAACAGAACATTTAAAAATTAATAATTAATTTTTAATAATTATTAATTCCATATAACAAATACAACTGAAATACTAATCTAGTACAGACCGGACATGTTGAACATCAGAGAAGCTAACTCTTCTGGATTTTCTATCTTTGGTGGTTGTAAGATCGTCTTCTTCGAAGTTGGCCGTCTGCTGCTGTTGTTGATTATCCGGATGATGAGGAGGTTGGATGATGTTGGGGATTTTTATCTCGCGCTGGTGTTAGGAAAAAAGTTTATTCAATGAATGATGCAGTAAATTTTAGTTAGGTAATTTATTAATTTAGTGTAGTTTCAAGTTTTAAATGCACTTTTTTGATGTATATTTTGTCATTTTGATCAGATTTGTAATTAATTAATAATTTTTATTTGAGCTGATATAAAAAAGAAAGAAGGTAGAGAATAAGTAAATAAACTTAACTTAACTAAACAATTGAGAGTGAATTATGGACAAATGAAAAAAAACATACCAGAGCTCGGAAATTTTTATCCGCCATCTTTAATCTTTCCCTAATCAACAACACTAATCAGATTATTTATTTATTTCCTCAATTTCACTCTTTCTAGAGTTTACAAAATCGAAAACTTGGATACAAGCGCGATTATTTTGGAAAAATAGAGATGGGCGATAGCAATTTAAATATTTAGACATTAATGAAATTTTGGTCTTAAAACTATGAGGTGCCTGAGAGTTATAAGGATAGAGTTTAACGAAAGAAAAAACATTTTTTTTAAATTATATAGTTTAAATTTTCACGTTTCGTTTAAATGCTATAAAATAAATTTTATTTTTTAATAATTTTATTTTAAATTTTCCTCTTCACTGTAATAATACTACGATGCGAAGAAAAGTATTAATATACTACTACACAATTCATTTATAATTTAAAAAATCAAAAGTATTAATAAATATAGTGATAATCATAGAAAAAAAACGTTAATAATAAAATTATGACGTAATAATTACGTATTTCAAGCGTCATTATATGATGATGATAGCCTAATATTTTGACAAAAACTAGCATCAACAACAGCATTAGGCTAATGATAACAAGAGTAATATTTAATAGGTAATAATGGTAACAATAATAGCAATAATAACAATAATAATAAGCATTTATAACTTGTTGTTATTATTATTACGATTATAACAATTTAATAATAATTATTATTTTAATATTCATTATTTAGAAAAATGTCATGTGTGATACATCTAGATTTGAAATACATACAAATGTCTTTATAAAGAGGTGTAGATTTGTGTTATAGCGAAACCAAAAAACACACAAATACATTCATATACAACTATGCATACTAACAAACAAACAAACACACACACACACGCACGCACGCACACACACACACACACACACACACACACACGCACACACACACATACGTAGATACACACATAAACACGTAGATACATAGAAACATACATGCAAACATATATACAAATATTACATAAAAAACAGAAATACAAACACTTAGATACATAAACGCACTTACATACAATCGTATACAAACACATATACAAACATACAAATACATTTAAAAAGTGATCTCTAAAACATTAGATAATCAAGGCAACTTAGGATGATAGTGAAGAAAAAAAATTTGAAAAGAAAAAGAAAAAAAATTAATTTAACAAATTAAATAATTAAATTAAATATATCAAAAAATGAAATATATCAAAAAATGGGAATTTTATATTTCAAAGTGAAATTACGCAAATATAAAAATAATTTCCGGATTAAAAGTGTTTATTTAATTTTAATTTAATTACAAACAAATTAGAAAAAGTTGACGACGTCAGAGATGTTTACACCCTGGTTCAAATCATAAAAAGCCATCACAAGGTAATAAAATAATAATAATAACAACAACAAAAAGAATAATAAATAATAATAATAGCAATAAGAATGAATGAATTTAATAATGGGACCGGAACTAATATAATGAAAAGTTGTTACAGCAAGACCAACATGAAAAAAATATCATTACGGGAATTATGATGCCTATATATAGGGCAGGGGTGGGCAAACTTTTTGCTATGAGGGCCACATTGAGAGCTATTTTACAATTGAAGGGCCGTCCATGTACTTAAAAAGCCATAGTTTGCCCACCACTATTTTAGGCAATCGAACACACACACACACTCATATACCTATTATAGATATACAATATATAAATAGATACATACATAATATACGCATACACTATATATATATATATATATATATATATATATATATATATACATAGATACATACATTGTATATATACATAAAATGGTGAAATATCGATTTTAATACGGGGAACATACAAAATGAATAAGATAAAAAAGATAAAAACCTCTGCAGTGAAATATGCTTGATATTCAACAGTCATTCAAATACGTCTGAGTAACTGTAGATATATATATATATATATATATATACGTGTGTGTGTGTATGTGTGTGTGCCTGTGTGTGTGTATTTTTGCAATAAACTTGTGGAATAATTGAGTAAACAGAAAAGCTGATGGGATGAAGAGAGCAACAAACATGAATAGAAGCAATTGAATTTCTTTTTTATCCATTTCTCCTCTCTCTCTGTTTCTTCTCTCTCTTTCTCTCTCTCTCTCTTACTCTTTCTCTCTCTCTCTCTCTATTTTTGCTTTTCTTTGCCTCTTTCTTTCTATCTTTTCTCATTTTCTCTGTTCCCACTTTCAATTACTTCATTCAGTGAAGAAACAATCAAAAGAATAATTGGCGTTACAATTAACAAACCTGCTGTAAATAAAACAAGCGCGCGCACACACATACACTCAGAGACAATCAAACAGACAAGCACACACACACACACACAGACAGGCACACGGACATGCTCATGCACACGCACACACAAATACATACACTCACAAGCACAGAACTCTTTACTATCGTGAATACTGACAAATAAAAACGATAAAGAAAAAATGTGAAAGTGTGAAAAAACCACCAAAAAAATGAGGTATATACATACATACACACACACATACATACATACATACATACATACATACATACATACATACATACATACATACATACATACATACATACATACATACATACATACATACATACATACATACATACATACATACATACATACATACACACATACATACATACATAAATCCATATATATTTACGTGTGTGTGTGTGTGTGTGTGCGTGTGTGTACGTGTGTGCGTGCAATACGAAACAGGGTTTAATAAATTTAATTTTACTTTTATTGTGAATATGTTGTCAATAAGACGACAGAAGCGATAACAATGAGATGATGACGACGATGACGATGTTGGTGCTACTGCTGCTGCTGATAATGATGAAGATGATGATTACAATGATAATGATTATGGTGATGATGAAGATGATGAAGAAAGCATTGATGATGGAAGAATGTTTTATTAATGTACAAACCTTTATAAATACGATGTATTCGTGTTATAGACCTATACAAGCAAAAGAAATAAATATATATATATATATAAATCAAACATACACACACACACACAAACACACACACAAACACATAAACACTCGTACAAAGATACAAACATGAAAAAATAATATTATCATTTCTTTGTTCAGTGTGGCATGGCTTTGCTGAAATAAGAAATTGACAGGACGTAAAAAAAACAGAAGGAAGAAAAATATACTGAAATAACAATATTATCAACAACATACGCAACGAAAATAAAAGAAGACAAACTAAACAAGCATAAAAAAAACCCTAAATAACTTTAACGTTTCTGATTTGTCGTGACGTCACAGTGGCAAAATCACGTGAGCATCTTACTGACCAATGGCAGGAAGTTATGTGTGAGCCGAACGTCTCACTCGTCTGCTCATTATGCATAACATGACCAGTGAATAATGTTATTAAAAGGTTCCATAAATCGAAGAGAAGGTAAGATAAAAACGTGTGAGAATGTAAAAAACATCTCTCGAAACAGAAAGAGAGAGAGGAAGAGGAAGAGAAAGGGAGAGAGGAAGAAAGAGAGAGAGAGAGAGAAAAAAAAAGAGAGAGAGGAAGAAAGCACGAAAGGAAGAAAGAAAGGGAAAGGGAGAGTGAAAGAAAGAGAGAGAAAGAGAAAGAGAGAGAGAGTGAGAGAGAGAGAACAAAATTATTCGCAGATAGAAAAAGAATGGATGACTTAAACCTCCGAATATATTGCATATCGACCTGATGATGATGATGACTGCGAAGATGACGTCATGATTGGAGATCACGCGTAAGATAGTTATTGACAAGATCATCCCTAAAATCTCAACAATAACAACGACAACTGTGAGAAAAAAAAATCTTAGAAAATAATGACCGAAATAAAAAAAAGTATCGAAACAAAAGAAAAACAAAAGACACCATGTAACCGGAAATGGTTGCGGATGATAAATTATCATGTCATTATTTATGATCTTTTGTTTCTTTTGTTTGCTTTTTACTGTTGTTAGACGGGACAACACGTCTGATGATAATAATAATGATAATAACAACAACAACAGTTATAATAAAAATAATAATAATATTAATATTCTTAGAACTGACGATGTTGATGATGTCTTTGATGATGAAAATGATGTTATTATTATTATTATTGTTGTTGTTTTTGATTATGAAATTGTTTATTAATTTATCATTTCGTGTGTTTTAGCATTTTACACGTATTCTAGAGATGTGTGCTATAGTTTAGTTTTTCTCGGTGATTTTACACCATATGATGAGGAAAATGATGACGCTACTACTGCTGCTACTGCTGCTGCTTCTGCTGATTATTATTATTGTTATTGTTATTATTGTTATTATTGTTATTGTTATTATTGTTATAATTATTATTATTGATATTTATTTACGGATATATTTTGTTGAATCGGCGAGCCGTGCGAAAAATAGCTGAATGTATGATTTATGACAAACTTGAATCCCATGACCAAGAGGAAGAAGAAGATGATGACGATGAAGAAGAAGAGGATGACGATGAAGAAGATGATGACGATGAAGATGACGAAGAGGAAGAAGAAGATGACGATGAAGAAGAAGTGGATGACGATGAAGAAGAAGAGGATGACGATGAAGAAGAAGATGATGGCGATGAAGAAGATGAAGATGAAGCTTGTGAGGGTTTCAACGTTTAAGTGACAATGACAATGTGCAATGTGCATACATACATACATACATGCATACATACATACATACATACATACATACATACATACATACATACATACATACATACATACATACATACATACATACATACATACATACATACATACATACATACATACATACATACATACATACATACATACATACATACATACATACATACATACATATATACATACGCACACACACAATAAACACGCGTAAATGTGCAATATTGACAAACAGCAACCAGCCAATAGAAAACATTGTTCCCTATATTAAAATGAATGAAAAAAAAAATTAAAATCGTCAGAAAAAA